GTATCTGGTATAATAAATGAATAACTATAACATCTTACCCATGTACTCTCCTACACCTACATTGAGCATAGTCTTCAACAAATTTCCAGCAAAGTTTCCTTGCAAAATTTTTTTAAGTTCACCCCATATTCTTTCACCTGATATATTTTCCAAGCCATGAACATTATTTTTAAGTACTCTTAGTGTCTCTTCCTCATGATTGTCTGGTTTTAGTGCAATTCTTCCATAAAATCGGAAATAACGCATAATTCTCAAGTAATCTTCTTTGACTCTAACATCAGGATCTCCAACAAATGCAACTCTTCTCTTTTGTAAATCTTCATATCCATAAAAGTAATCATAAACAGATCCATCAAACCCTGTAACAAACAAATGTAGACTGACCTGTAATGAATACAATATGAAAAACTTATATATGAGTCGTCTATTATCAAAGGTGGCAATCTGTGCATTTGGACAAAAAAAAATTATTGATATGTCAATACAGATTGATTTGAATTTATTCGTCTCCTTCAAAGAATACAGTTCAAAACCTGCATTAAATAAAGGTTAATACTTAACCTGTTATTTATCTAAGATGTCGTTCCGAAGAGTTTTGTGACTGCCAATGGAATACAAAGTCAATAATTCGTTTTTCTGATTTACCAATAATTGTACAAAAGTCAGATTGCCGGCTTTGATAATAGTCGACTCATATAGCCTCTGGTAAGACTATTGAGTTAATCAATGTTTTGGAGGATAAGTAGTTTACTTGCAACTAACTTTTAATTTTTAAATGTAAATCACACTAGTTTATTGATGTACAGTAAAACCTGCACGGGAGGGTAGGTACCACTATTCTGCCTAATTTTCTCTTAAAATTCATGTCTACATTGTGATGTCTATTGGTTCTGGTAGCCTTCTAATAAAAAGTGGACATCTAATAAATTTTTAACATCATCTTTAAAAATATTTGCTACTTTTTTAAGTAATCAAGACTGGCCAGTTCCTTCAGAGAATTGGGGGATATGCCTGAGAGAATCCAATCTGTAGATTTACAGTCCCTTAATTATGTGTATGGCAACTCGTGAACTCAAAAATGACACTGAAGTAATTCAAAGAGTGAAGAAAAAGGGGTGATTAATTGTTTAGCTGTTAACTGCTTGCTCATTTTAATATAAAATTAGTAATGTGATAATACAGCATTAAGGAGCAGTGAGTTATCTCCAGGAGCTATCACATTTCAGTCAGTTATGTTCTGTTTGTTACCATACCATATTTGTTTAGCAGACATGAATGTTCTTGTCATAATTGTCAATGATTTGTAGTTTAACAAGGAAAGTTTATATTTCATTATTATTATTTTTAATGAAGAGATCCCACAACTTTGTTTTTATTTTTTAGGTTGATGGTTTTTTTTTTTACTACTTATACATATATTAACTAAAAAATCTATTTTATTTAAAAAAAATAATTAAATCACCTAAAAACATAGAATTTATAGTAAGGTCTCTTCTGTTAGCATCAAGTTTCCAATCTTTAGTGAATTGAACATCTGCAAAACGTCCATCGGTAACCATATCAATCCTTAAGGTGGTTACCTCAAAATTCTCCTTGTCGTTAATTCGAGCAGTGATAGTTCCATGCCTCTCTCCATTAACGTTTATCATTCTTACTTCTTCCGCAGTGAACATTTCTTTCATTTCTTCAGGAGTTGCTGTTGTGGCAAAATCAAGATCTTTTGGTGTAAGTCCCATTAAAAGATCTCTAAAATAAATTATTGTTACTAAATGACTTTTCATTTTATATTACATACAAATGGAACTATTACTGTAAGCAATCCAATTAGTAAATCTCTTTCTAATATTTTACTTACCTACATGAACTAAAAATTTTGTAAAAATTGTCAAGTGATATTGTTTTTCTTAAAATAAATAACATGTTGGGAAACTGTACCTTACAGCACCACCAGCGATTCTAATTTCATGTTTATATTTGTCAAAAATTTTTTTTAGGTCTATAACTTCTTCTGTAAATATACTTTTAAACTCTGGCGAATCCACTTTAATAACAATAGGATTTTCCCGACACTTTAAATTTAAGTCCATCTTTGATCGAAACCTTCTTCGACTTGGATCAGTAACACTGCATGTCCCCTGAAAATATCAAGAATGTATATACCTATTATTTTCATTTTATTGCTGTTAGCTTATCGTTTTTATTAGCTTTATTTCATATAATTGAAAAAATTAAAACGAAATTTTGAGGTTGGTAGCAAATTATATGCAAGAATTTTATAATCACCCTGAGCTGGAAGAATTGTCCGACTCCTAAGATTCTTTTGCATGCACTTAACATAACAAAAAAGAAATTCCAAATCAAAGTGGCTAAATTGTTGTATATCTCACGTAAATCTTTGAAAATTTTCATATTATGTAGTAATTTTAGTTGTCAAATTAGGTGGACACTTCGTGACACAATCTTAAGTCATGAAATTAGGTGTATTATCTATGCTAAGAAATATTGTCGCGATCTCTTTAACTGGAACATACCTAATCTAATGTTTTTATGTTGTTTTTAATTTTTAGGGTTCTACTTTTCAATGGAAAAAGGCTCTCTCTATGTGTCCTATCCTTAGATGGTATTTCTCAAAAATTGTTAGAATTAAATTTAATTTAACCCCAAAAGAAATTTATGAAAAATGTTTGCTTTCAATTTCTTTAAACTATAACCAACAGAACACTATTCAGTTCACATGGTATCTAGTACATTTAGTTAGTTTACTTTACATATTAATTGAACTGTCATTGGATTTGATATAAATCGGTAAGATATTTAAGTAAGGTACCTTAGATAATATACTTTATCAGAAACTACAGCTACCAATTTTTAAAGGGAAGAAATAAACTATTGTAAGGTATTTTGATTAGCCCTTTCTTTTTCTCTACCTGATCGTTGGTAACCTAAGGGGCTATTCCACCTACTACTACCTACGATTTGGTAGGTGAGTTCACTTAACCTGAGAGATTTTGCTAACACTAGCCCTAGCAAGAGCAGAGCTTCGCAGATTCTACCACTGGATAGGAATCGCGACCCTCTCAGAAGATCTGGCGAGAAACGTTGTCGGTTGTGTCTATGGGTTAGTTCGCTCGTAGAACTCTTAGTCGTAATCGACGAGTTCGACGACTGGTGCTTGAGTGGTCTAAAAGCACCAAAAGTGGATCCGAAGTATCCGACAATACATGTTTCGTGGGACGGCACTAGTGTTTTCAATATTTATATACGGAGTAGAGACATGGACTATAAAGAAAGCTGACTGCAATCAGATTGATGCCTTGGAAATGTACTGCTAGAGGAGGATGTTGGGTATTCCCTGGACCGCACACCGCACCAATGTATCCATCCTAGCTCAGCTCAAGATCCAGACTAGACTCTCCACCATTTACCTGCGAAGGATTCTTGAATACTTTGGCCACACTGCAAGGAAAGACAGTGACCATTTGGAGAAATTGGTGGTCACTGGAAAGGTCGAGGGCAAGCTACCAAAAGGCAGGAACCCGACCCGTTAGACGGACCAGATTCGTGCAGCCCTTGATACCACAGTACACGATGCTCTGCACTCAGCTGCAGATAGGAACAGATGGCGGTGCATTATAAAAAAACAAACTGTTTCAAGGCCATGACCAGGACCCTCAGTAATGAGGAAACCGACGGACGGAGGAGAGGGACGGCTACTTTACGTGACCTGGTCTTCTGGATGTGGTAAGTAATTAGTACCGACCGGCGATTAAAATGTTATCGTGCCGCGCCCCTTCGTCGAAGTAGCGTTTTGACACTACCTTAAGATACGTGTTAGTTCTAAACTTAGATCTTTTTTTTATTGCTTAGATGGGTGGACAAGCTCACAGCCCACCTGGTGTTAAGTGGTTACTGGAGCCCATAGACATACACAACGTAAATGCGCCACCCACCTTGAGATATAAGTTCTAAGGTTTCAGGTAAGTCCCGCTCTTCGGAATTGGGGATCTTATTCGGCGGCATTATTTGACGACGGTTTAGTCGGTAAAGTCAGTGAAACACAAATCGTTCATGTAGGCACAATAATTTCATATATCACTTCACAACCCCACGTTGGGCGCCATTTTTAACACTAAAAGTCCGACTGGCGGGGCTTTTGTGAGTTTTTGTGAATTCGGTGTTCCGTGCTGTTTGCGAAGAAGATATGAAAATTATGTTACCACTGATTTGTATTAGGTTTTAATATCAAAGCGACACAATAACTGAAATAATACAAAAATACAAAATTATTTGAGAACCGTACAGATAAACTAAGACTGACAATATTTTGGCGGTCGAAGTCGCGCGCGCCGAGGCCGCGAGGGCCCGTGTGTTCTCGCTCCGAGAACTTGTCTCAGCGGTGGGTAAGGCGGCGGCGGTGGCGGTATCGCACGTTCGGATATTTGGTTCCGTTCTAAGTGTCATTAATATATATATTTAATATACGCGACGGAGTTCGTATTCTATAACTATTCGTACATATTTTTATAGTTTCCAACAAGGGCGGATCCAGCTTTGGTGCCAGGAGGGGGTCACATAGTCATGGTCAAGTCAAGAACTTATAACCAATTTAATTTTGATAACAATAGATACAAGTAAAAAGTAGGTATTTTATTAATGTACGTAAGTACTGTACTTAAAAATATTTATTCTTTATTGTACACTTGAAAAACTTAACACGTAATAACTTGTACATATACACGTACATATTGTCATGTTCTCTTGAAGACATCCAGAGAAGCACTATCACGCCCGGAATGAGGCAGCTTATTTATATTCCATAACCGTGGTCCTAAAATCATTATGTTCAATATGTGGTCCACCTGGAACCAGCTCAGGGGGGGGTCATGACACCCATGACCCCCCCCCTGGATCCGCCCTTGGTTTCCAAATTGATGAAAATAATACCAATACAGTGAAAACAATATGTACACTAGGTAGTCAAATAACTGAGTTTTAAAAATATAATTCCATTCTTTTTCATTTCATTCAGAATTTATGACCAAGAAAAAACGTTACAGAAAATTGTCCGATTACTGGGAATACATAATATATTCACAAACTCGGTACAACGGGAAGGAACTTCAGCTTTTTGATCTTCTGAGTTTGGTTTTTATTATTTTAGGCAAACAAGCTTACGGCCCACGTGATGGTGAGTGGTTACCGTCGCCCATGGACTTCAGCAATGCCAGGGGCAGAGCTAAGCCGCTGTCTACAGTTACGTTGCGGCATCAATGGGTCTCAAATAATGGGCCCCTTTACTCATTTATATAACTATAAAGGGTCAACAGACGAACTTCTTAAATATACCTAGTCAGGTCATAAATTCTGTCACATGTTTAATGTAAAATAATTGAAACAAGTTTATTCATTATGTAACCATTCATATACCAAAATGAACTTAACAAAACATAGATTCTTATGACACCAAAATTTATTCAGAATGACCTCCGTGATTTTGAACACAGGCCTTCAATCTGCGCGGCCAGTCGTCTATCGCAGCACGAACGAGGTCCATGTCAATATCGGCGGCTGCCTTAATCAAGGATGTCTTGAGTGACTCCAAATTGGGATGAGGCTTTGAGCATGCCTTTTCCTCAAAGTGTTGCCATATCTTGTAATCTAACGGATTCAAATCTGGACTGGAGGAGGGCCAGTCTTCGTGCCGGATGAAGTCGGTTTCACGCGCTGCCAGCCAGTCTTGTGTGCTCTTCGCTCTATGAGCTGGCGCCGAATCTTGTTGGAATACCCAGTGCCTGTTATTGAACATGGTATGAGAAACAGGTTCCACAAGGTTCGTCAGAACTGTATTTTGATACACAGCTGCATTCGTTTTTACACCTTTCTCACAAAAATGTACCTTTGTTAAGCCCCAATAAGAAACTCCCAACCATACCATGAGCGAGGATGGAAAATGACCTCGTTGGACACGCGGAATACGGTTGCTCGCTTCTTCACTACTGTGTGCGTACATCTTATCATTTTGTTTGTTGTAGCTCTCTTCTACGGTAAAAATTTTTTCATCCGAAAAAAGAATTTCCCGATATTTTTTTCCCGCGTACCGCTTCAACAAAGCGCGGCATCTCTTCAGTCTCAGGTCCATTAGACGAGCATTCAAACGATGTCCTGTTTTTCTTCGATATGCCCGAAGCCCTAAGTCTTCATTTAACACCCTTTTCACCGTGGTTCTGCTTAACCCCATCTGAAGGGCCAACAGTTTCTGCTTACGTTTGGGATTTCTTTGAATTCGCGCCTTCACAGCTTTTATCACTGCTGGAGTCCTAACAGACCGAGGGCGACCACTTCTTGACCTGTCATCTACACTAGAGTCTTCATTGTATCGTTTGATGGTACGATAAACGAATCTTTTGGTTATATTCAAATTTTTCAGTATGTTAAAAATTTGAATTGGCGCGTAACCGCAACGATGCAACGCAATAACTGCAACACGGTCTTCTTTAAGCGTCCACTCCATATTTAAAAATGAGTAAAATTATAAAAGTATACATTTTTATTTTCATGAACAATTCGAAATTCGAATTCAATAAACTTTTTTGTGGCCAGCATTCTAAAAGAAAAGTTTTTACGATGTGACAATACTTATGACCTGACTAGGTATAATACCCAGTGAGGCTACAAGTGGAGCCTTCTATCATCATCCATGACACTCTATTTAATGCTCACTAATTTTCTTACTATTTACCTCTTTTTTTTCTATTTAATTTTTAAGTGTTTCAATAATGTATTAAAAAGGAAAAAGTCCATATACTGATGGTAATAAGGTAATGAGCCGATGGGTAGATTATTTGCTTATCCATACAATTGAATACGAGAAGACATCCCCGATATTTATAATAATCGACTTGAACGCCTCCTTTTTTCAATGTGCTAATTAGTTTCTTACCATGCAGTCTCATTGTGCCTTACCTGCCACGTAGTATAGTCCATGGCTCTGATTATATAAGCTATTATCGTGCCCATTGCACTAAATAACTTTCATATATGTAACTATAAATGTATTATTAAACAATAGTTTATTTGTCATAGTTTTATTGGTATTTAAAACACTAAAAGATTACATCAGTTCTTACGATTGCCTTAATGTCATTTGCCACCCATTAACCCACCCATTCCACTTGAGCCCTGTTGTAACTGTCGCATCATATTGTGTAAACCTGACATACCACCCATTTGTTGTAGGAGGCGAGGATCCATCATCTTTGCCATTTGTTGGTTTAATTTAACCATTTGTGTTTGATTAACATTTTTAGCCATATCTCCTCCTTTGAACAATCCTTTAATTCCACCCATTTTTTTAACGACAGCCGCAAATTTTGTGTATTGTGCAATTAAGTCTTTAACATCTCGTTCTGTGACACCTGCTCCCTGTGCAACTCTTGTGATACGTGTCGGTTGTTTAGAAAACAACTTGGCGCCGTCTCTATTATCCAGCTCACCTTCATTCATAGAGTCCATAATTGTCATAAGGAGTTTTAATTTGGCCATTGACTCTTGTTCACTTCCTTTTGACATAAGATCTTGTGAAAATCCAGGAATCATTCCCTAAAACAAAAAAACATACAATACTACTTCTATCTTTAGTTGGCATAGAAGAATTGTTTCAGTAAAAAAATTATACCATTATTTGTGAGAAAGGTCCCATCTTCATTATATTTTGAAATTGTTCATACATCGCTCTGAGAGTAAACTGTCCATGTTTAAGTTTTTCTAGTAGCTCATCATTGTCATCGAGTTTGAGTTCATTAACTTTATCTAAGAGACCTTCAATGTCTCCCATGCCAAGGAGTTTCTTTATAAACGGTTTTGTTTTGAAAGGCTCTAAGTCATCAATATGTTCTCCAGTACCAATAAATATGATAGGACTTTGTGTAGCTGCAACACTATAATATTAAGAGAAAAAGAGATTCACAGTATAAGATTACACATTACACATATATTTAAAATTTAAATTTGGTTAAAATTTTAAAGTAAATAGCATTCTACAATAGCTATTTTACTTTTATCCAAAAATATTATGTGAATAAGAAGTTGAGTGACTTACGCCGAAAGTGCACCTCCTCCCTTGGCATGTCCATCTAACTTTGTAATGATAACAGAACCAATATCTACTTTGTCTTTGAAAGCCCTGGCTTGAGCTTCACAAGCTTGACCAATTGTTGCATCCATCACAAAAATTATGTTGTCTGGTTTCTAAAATAATCAATACAATAATGTAATCCATTTAGAAAAATATTAATAATGAAACATAAAAGTTATAATTGCCACATTGCTCTAATTTTAATGATCTGGACTACTGTAACCCTTATATATAATAAATATAGATTTTCTTATGTTCAAGCTAACTTATTACACCTCAATTTAACAACAATTCATTTCTATTTTTTTATTAGTGTAGATTTGTAGGTCAAGCCCAGATTTGGTTTGAAGTATTTACGGAGCCCATAAATATTACTATATAATGTGAAATCAAGCCAGCAATTGTAGCAATTCTTTGAAATAAAACTATTTACAAAATATATATATAAAATAAATAAAATGTACTCTTGTAAATCACATTCTTTTGTTTTTAAAGACTATTTAAGTAGTAAGCGTAGTAAGTACTTTGAAAACACAAAATTTGACACCCCTTTAGTTTCATAGTGGTCAATATAATTAGCAACTGAATAAACCAATCATAACAACCAACATTAATTTTCCATGTATAGATTTCACGGTTTTCATGTGTGTTTTGTTTGTTTTTGTCAAACATATTTCATGAGCAAATTCAGGGTGTTGAATTAAATTGTTTGTAATAATAATGTTATAGCTTACAATAGCTGTAGCAACTGCCAACATCTCTTCAAAAAGCGACTCTTCCTGCTTATGACGACCACTAGTATCCACAATAATCATTTCAAAACCTTGCTTCTTGAACATATCCACTCCAGTTGTTGCTATTACTACTGGATCCACCTCTGTGTAGCTGAAATTAACATGTATATGCTGAATTATTTACTTAGTGATACATAATCTTATTATTAAATTGTTGATAGAAAAGGGTGGCGAGATTATAATCCTACCAAACACTATCCCATACACAAAGATCTATTGGGACCACCCCAAAGTATTAAATATCATTATGCAGGCCTACATCTAGTATAAACTGTTTTTCTCAGACAGACATTCTTCAGGTCAGAGACTTAAGTTGAGGATGGACTCTTTTACCAAGAATGTCAATTTTATGTTAAAGTAGTAATAAAGATCTCAATATGGACTGCAGATGACTGCATCAGTTTGAAGTAGTAGGTAGTAGAATGAACTCTGCTCTGATGGTGGGAGATAAAGATGGTTAAATAGAGATAATAGGATTATTTCACAAACCCACCACATATATACATACCTTCCATAAAACGGAATTCTGGCTTTAGTACAATTCTGTTTGACTTGATCATAAGCACCAGCTCTGAATGTGTCAGCACATACCAAACATGATTTCCAATTCTTACGTAGGTAATGATATGCAAGTTTTGTACATGTTGTGGTCTTTCCAGATCCTTGTAATCCCACAAACATTATTACATTAGGCTTCCCTTTGACAGGCTGGTATGGTTTAACCCCGGGATCTACAAGCTTTAATTTTAATTAATAGTTAATTACCTGTATGTGTCTGCTTTGAGAGAACAGAGGACTTACTACTAAATATATTTTATTCAACAGTTGCCTAGGAGGAAAATTTATTCTTGAGTAATTAATCTATATTGTGCATACACATAAAAAAATTATTGTGTAATTGTGAATAAGATTTATTTACAATTAATGACAATGTTAAGTGAACAGTAACTATTGATAGTCAAAATTTTAGTAACAATGTTTATCACTACTATACACAATTAAAAAAAAGTATAGAGGATAGAGTAGGATAGTCTCTCCACAAGATGCAAGTATAACTAGTAGTAGCTAGAATTTGAAAAAATACAGTTCCTACAAGTCCTACCACTAAATATGCGCTTTGTAAAAATATATAACAAGTATAAAAATTTGTCACCATTTCTCTATTTTATATTATAATAATGTTTATGTTTATGCTAAAAATAATCAGCTAATTGCTTAACTATCTAAGTAATAGCTTAACCTAAGTACAACACCAATCTGTTGTGATAATTATACAAACTATAAAAAGTTTACCTTGACTAGTTCTTTGAAAACCGCAGACTGAATCATCCTTCGCTTATTAAGTCCACCAGCCATTTCATCAAAATCAATGACAGCGCGAACATTTTCTCTTAAGTTTTTAACAAGGCGGATATTTACATCTGCTTCCAATAATGCAGCACATATCTGCTTCAGCATAGAATTCAATACCTGCAAATGAGGATACAAATTTTAACAGTGTACCTTTATTTCCATTTAACAATTGATTGTCTTTTATTCGAGTAATGTGGATTAAGCAACAGTTTAAATGCTCAAATTGTTCTGTTGTATTAACTGTATAAAGAGCACAACTCTGTCATATTTACAGGGTTTATATTCTGTCTTACCTCTTCATTTATAATAGTAGCCCTGCTCAACGACTGCAAAGCAGTGGTTATTTTACGCCCTAAATCTGCTAAAACCATTTTGGTTTAAGTTTTAGGCTATCAAAAGGAATTATTTTTGCCAGCTGTTGACACTTATAACTTGCAAATAATTATAGAGATTTATAAGAAAACATAGTAGTTTTTTCGTACATCTTAATAATTATTTTAAGCAAGCACAAAAAAATATATTTTCAGTTTATTTGAGCTTTGCGGTAGGTAATAAAATTAAAATTCCAAGTTCATTTTTCTTGTACGATTTCACTATTTGACGCAAGGCTTACACGTTTGTTGTAACTATATTAGATTGCCATAACAAAATTCATCTGTTTCACTATGGCTATTGCATCGAACCAAATAGGTCTTTCTTTCTGGTCGTTCCCTCAATGCTGAGGATCGTGACTGTATGTACCGTACCATGGCGAAATAAGATGAACTTGGGCATTTTAGCAGAACGCGTGTAGCGAAGTCCTGCTTAATGTTTTTATATTTAAGTGTTTCTTTAGGTTTAAACGTATAGCCATTGTGGTTTAAATACTTAATATCTTAGCTTAATATCTGTGTGAAATATTAATGGATGTCTATTTAAGTTTTGTTTTAATACCTATATATTTTTAATTAAAGAGAATTCCTTTACAATATTATGAAATGTATCGGATTGATCTGAAATTATAATTAAAAGAAAGAAGATTAAACGAAGAAATTTAATAGAATGAAATTATATGAATGAAATAAAATAGAATGAAATAAAAATAAAAAATAGTATTATTTTGGAGTTTCAGTAAAATGGTGGGAATTTACTGAAACTACGTTGGAACTGTTTTGAAGAACCCTTTTAGGTCCTCTTATGAGTCCACAAGGGTAGGTATCACCACCCCGCCTATTTTTGTCGTGAAGTAATAATGCGTTCCGGTTTGAAGGGTGGGGCAGCCGTTGTAATTATACTGAGACTTTAGAACTTATATCTCAAGGTGGGCGGCGCATTTACGTTGTAATATATCTATGGGCTCCAGTAACCACTTAACACCAGGTGGGCTGTGAGCTCGTCCACCCATCTAACCAATAAAAAAACCCGAAGTGTCACTTTTTTCAATTTATAATATCGTACTTGTGTACTTTCGCAAACACTGAAAGGTTAATTTTACTAAAAACATTTTTTTAAATGATTTTATGACCTGGTAGCTAAGACCTTTAGCTCAATTCTTATTTTAATTGATATTATTATTTTTATGAAAAATGAAAATATGGAGTCTAATGAAATGATATGAAATGAAGTTGATTAATTTGAGACAATTATCAATTGGGATGAAATTAAATGAAATGAGATGATTAGGAATGAAATATAATCGAAGTAAAATGGTAGTCATTTACTGAGATTTTTTCAGTGGACTTTTTGGAAGATCCCGAGAAGTTATGTCTAGCGGCTTTGTTTCATTTTCCCACATTTATGCACTTTCAGAGATATTAAACAGTTAATAAACCACAGTTATCACCCATTTTAACCTGAAGAAACACTAAATAGACAAAATAAAACAAATTACACAACTTCACTCCTCGCGCTCTGGCCAAAAAGTCCCTACTAAAGACTGCTTTAATCCACCCATAGAGTATATATTCTAGATACGTCAAAATTGTCTGTTGTAATACTGTTAATAGTCTGTGGTGGTAATTTTCGCTTTGTAATCTCAATAAGTTGTAAATTGGAACTGAAGTATTTATTTTAAAATTCAGTAAACTTGGGAACTTGTGGAATTGACTCAAAATGGTATATTCAAATGGAATAAATTATATTATAATAGTCATCTTTCGAAGTTCATCTTTATGAAACATGTTCACTTTTAGGGTCAAAATCAATCAGGTGGAGGTGGTGACAAAAAAGATGACAAAGACAAGAAGAAGAAGTATGAGCCTCCGATCCCTACACGAGTTGGTAAAAAGAAAAGGAAAGCTAAGGGACCAGATGCGGCTCTCAAGCTTCCGCAAGTCACGCCTCATACAAGATGTCGACTCAAGTTGTTAAAACTCGAAAGAATAAAGGACTATTTGTTGATGGAAGAGGAGTTCATCCGTAATCAAGAACGCTTGAAGCCACAGGAAGAGAAAATTGAAGAAGAAAGGTCTAAGGTGTGTTTTTAAGAATTTATTACCTAATGACATGAAATAAATTCAAATAATTAAGATAGATTAAGATCTCGGACACCTAAAATTGCAATTAATGGAAAGTGAAACTAATTTTCAGGTTGATGACCTAAGAGGAACTCCAATGTCAGTTGGTAATCTTGAGGAAATCATAGATGACAATCATGCAATAGTGTCGACTTCAGTTGGCAGTGAACATTATGTTAGCATTCTCTCCTTTGTTGACAAGGATCAGCTTGAACCTGGATGCTCTGTGTTACTGAATCATAAGGTATTTATAATTTGTTTGTTGTTAATTGACTATGCATGTTTGAATATGTGAAAAAGGAATGAATACAAATAATTCTGAGTCAATTTTGTATCCACAAATAACATAGGTATTTTTTTAAAAATAAAGTAGAATACAAAATGGTTTACTGGTTATGAGGTTCAAGATGCAATTTTGTTTTTCATTACTCTACCGATTTGTTGGTAGCTTAAGAAGCTATTCTAACCACACATAGATTGGTGAGTGAGCTGATGGCGCTTAATCTGGGAGAACTTGTTAATTCTAGCCTAAAAGCTTGATTGATTTTTTGTAAAAAATATTTCTAAGAGTCTGAAAGATTTTCATCATTACAATCCTCCAACTACAATCAGATAATAATAATCAACATCATATTATGTTTTTTTCTCNTGTTGGTAGCTTAAGAAGCTATTCTAACCACACATAGATTGGTGAGTGAGCTGATGGCGCTTAATCTGGGAGAACTTGTTAATTCTAGCCTAAAAGCTTGATTGATTTTTTGTAAAAAATATTTCTAAGAGTCTGAAAGATTTTCATCATTACAATCCTCCAACTACAATCAGATAATAATAATCAACATCATATTATGTTTTTTTCTCTTTGTTTTATCTAATTTTATAGGGATTTTGAACACTGTTATTTGTTCCACTCTACACAGACTTAAAATGCTATATGACCAAGATTGAATGTCCGTTTCACTCAAGCATTATGGTTATGTCCATCATTAATGCAATGAATACTACTACACAGGTGCATGCAGTTGTTGGCGTTTTGGGTGATGACACGGATCCCATGGTGTCAGTCATGAAGCTTGAAAAGGCTCCACAGGAAACCTATGCTGACATTGGTGGCCTGGACACCCAGATCCAGGAAATCAAGGTTTTTTTTCTACAAATATGCTATTGAAAAGATTAGTTATATAAATAAATAAATAAAAATAATTTAATTAATAAATGTTAATATAATATTTCTGTGAAAAATCATATTGGTAGTTACTAAGAAAGACAGAATACTTGTTTTTCTAAGTATCTGAATTACATATTCAGATTTTTATTCATATTGGTATTGTTAGTTTGGTAAGAAAAATGTCCACAAATATTTGTAGATTTTTCATAATCTTCATTTAAGAATACTATAATAACATCATAATGATGGTACATAGTTGCTCATTTAATTTAATCATAATCAAAACATTTTTATCAGGAATCTGTGGAGTTGCCTCTAACACATCCGGAATACTATGAAGAAATGGGAATCAAACCTCCCAAAGGAGTCATCTTGTACGGTCCTCCGGGCACTGGTAAAACACTCCTGGCCAAGGCTGTTGCAAACCAGACATCTGCTACCTTCCTACGTGTTGTTGGATCTGAACTTATACAAAAATATTTGGTAAGTTGTGGAGATAAATTTAAATTATGTATGAATATGTTTCAACAAATTCTAAGCATAAATCCATGTTACATAATTATATTTTAAGTGTGGGTTATATAAAACAGACTATCTTAGTTCTAACTTTTCTAACAATCCTAGCTATTTATTTGCTAAACAATAATTTTGATTCAAAGTTTATTTAGAATTATTTTAGTCCAATGAAAAGCCTTCAAAAGAAGAATAACTATAAATTTCTCTTCTTGGGATATACAAAAAAGAACTTATTTTTTGTGATGCTTTAGTCTACTATAGAACCAAACAGAACAACCAGAAATGTGTTTGCGTAGTAGACATTAAAACAGAAACTTCATTTATAATGATGACTACATATAAAAAAAAATTGTTCACTTAAAAATTTGAATTATCAACTTATATTAATACCAAATCAATGCTTTTTTTACAATAATTTCTTTCACATTAAACATAACATGGTTGTCTATGGTATGAAAAAATAGTAGATATTGTTTCTAAAAGATTTTTTTTTTCTCAGGGTGATGGTCCCAAGTTGGTTCGTGAACTGTTCCGTGTTGCTGAGGAACATGCACCTTCAATTGTTTTCATTGATGAAATTGATGCAGTGGGCACTAAACGGTATTTCCAATCCAATCAATGAAAAAATATACTAAATAGGGTATAAGAGACTGACATTGCTGTTTTTTAAAAATGAATCATATTCACTGCTATTCTGTCTATATCTATCACAAACGAGTAATACTTTAGAGTTTAAATAGTGGAATTTCTATAATAAAATAAAATCAAGATTTTGATGAGATTGTTTGTGTTGAGTTGTGTGAAATTGTTCCATAAAGTGGTAAATAGCCCTGTAGGAATAAACTGACATAATAAATGGAGCTTAATAAAGAATATTGCTTTTTCAGTTATGATTCAAACTCTGGTGGTGAAAGGGAAATTCAAAGGACCATGTTGGAATTATTGAATCAACTTGATGGTTTTGATTCAAGAGGAGATGTGAAGGTTAGATTCACAAGTCACAATATTTAACAAAAATAGCTTTATTATTCAAGGTAATTAAAATTAATCTCACATCTATTCTTAGGTGATCATGGCCACAAACCGTATAGAAACTTTAGACCCGGCACTTATCCGACCAGGTCGTATTGATAGGAAAATTGAATTCCCCTTGCCTGACGAGAAAACCAAGAGAAGGATTTTTACCATTCATACATCAAGAATGACATTAGCTGATGATGTGAACTTGTCTGAACTTATTATGTCAAAAGATGATCTTTCTGGTGCTGATATTAAGGTAATGTTTATCTTGTTATTAGTTCTGTTTGCTCTAGATATGTAGATATTAGTTCTTGGCCTATGTGTGGGGTAACCACTTCGTACCTTATGCCTGTGGACATAACATAAATACTGTGACCTGTCTTGATGCATGAAGTCAAAAGTATTAAATGTATTGTATGGCTCTGCCAATGCTCAAACCGGAACGCCTGACTCTCAGCAGAAATAGACAAGACTGCGGAATTTAATCTAATTGTGTTAAAAATAAAACTTAATATGCTTTCACAGACTACTCTGAAAAACATAACAGAAATAAAATAAATATAAACAAGTTTACATACTATTAACCTCTAGAAACCCTGGATTAGTCGAATTTCTAAATATAATATGTGAATATAACACTACTACTTACTTTTTTTACACTACTTTTTTCGTTAGTTGGCGCTACCAACTGTGTGCAATAAAAATCACTTTCGGAGTGTTATGTTTGTAGTTTCAAAGTTTGTTTGCAGACTAAAAATATTAGAAAGGATACTATTATGATATCAATGTTTACAATTTCATTTTAGATGATTTATTTTCTAACCAAAGAGGTATAATAATGCTGGTATAAATGGCAAAAAAAAAGGTTTTTTTTATATTCCATTATTACAATACAAAATGAGTCATCACAACTTTTTGGTATACCGTATAATACATAAACTGTACTATACATTTTGTACGTGTTGTTATATTTTCTAGTTTTTATTTTTATTTATAGGCAATATGTACTGAAGCTGGTCTCATGGCACTTAGAGAGCGCCGTATGAAAGTAACAAATGAGGACTTCAAGAAATCAAAGGAAAGTGTCCTATACCGCAAGAAGGAAGGCACACCAGAAGGACTTTATTTATAAATGTATTCAATTATGTTCAATGATTTATTAAAATACGAACTTAATAAACGAAAGCTTTTTTTTTTCCACTTTTTATTTAGTTTAATGGCTTAAAACAAAATTACGCTTCTTTAATTTGTAAATGTGTCATCAAATAATTATGTTTTCTTTTATCATTACAAGGATTTCAAAGACATCAAAGTCTATTAATTTAATAAATATCCAGAGTTGCTGTAATTGTAGATAGAGCATGGCTCAAAAGTACTTTGGTAAAAGAGTTTCAAATTACAAATCGAATATTCTAGGAGCATTCTTGTGAAACATATTTCATTATTCAGTTTCAATTGAATTTTTATACATATATCTACCACACCTTATAACCGTAGTTTTTCTCAATGGTCTTCAACCAATTATATTCCAACATCCCACAAAACTAGCTTACTATTCAAATTGAACTTTGTGGCTGTAAGGTGTCGACCTAGAATGTCTCAACCAGTACCGTCTTTACCATAAGGGCACACGGGGCCCGTGCCCTGGGCCCCCTTTCTCAGGGGGCCCCCAAGGACCGACAATTTGGTTACCAACTGTAGTCGAGAGTGGTCATTTTCGCAGCTTAAGAGAATAAAAAATGAATTGCGAACAACAAGGTTACAAGAACGGCTGAGTAATTTGTCAATTATGGGCATAGAAAGTGATATCCTTCAAAAAAAGTGTGTGTGTCCGCTCCGACGCACGACTGGAGTTTACTGGATATAAAAAATTAAACGAAACAATACGAGAAATAGTTCTATATTACGACAACACGATACACTACAGATTATTAACAAATTAACGAGACACAAAACAAACGACTAACAAATATATGAAAATACAATAATGAGAGAAACGCGCGATCAGTACGAGGCTTTGTGGCGGACTGCCGGCGCAGCAGCCCGGCGTCACCTGCAATAACGCGGCCGCGCGTTGGCTCCTGATTGGCGCGCGCACGCATCACGCAATCAGGAGCCAATCAGGCGCATAACGCATTTCGTGTGACATGCTAGTACGATTTTGATTGGCGCGCGCACGCATCACGCAATCAGGAGCCAATCAGGCGCATAACGCATTTCGTGTGACATGCTAGTACGATTTTGGTCCCCATAATTTTCATACCCCGGGCCTATATATGTAAATCGATTCTAAAGGAGTAAACTCCAAAAATTGACTTTAAAGATATAATGGAATATTTTGCTCAACAGAAATCCCGAAAGAAACCATTATCGTAATCGTAACCAAAAAACCAGCAACATTCTAATATAATTAATATTATTCAATCATACTGTATTTGATTACCTATAATACCTATAATGGTCATACTCAGTAAAAAAATGTTATTATACTTGGCTTTTTTTACTTTCCAAAAGGGCCTCAAATTCTTGTGTGCCCAAGGGCCCAAGCCTAGATTAAGACGTCCCTGGTCACAACCCCATTTTTTTGGTCGGTGTCGTAATAAGGCAACCAAGACGCTCATTAGGTGGCAGTGTCCTCTTAGTAGTATTTACGTACCTCACCTAAAGATCAGCCCGCTGAGTTTCTCGCCGGATCTTCTCCGCCGGGTAGTTGTTTTTTTTATTCAGCTTAGACAAGAAACATGAATACTTCGAAAATTCGAGTGATTTTTGAATACGAATTTTGAAACAGCTCGCAATGTCAATGTTGCGTTTGGAGAGGGGACTGCTTTTTTTTCTTCCTACCTATGCTGATTGCCTTGAGAGTCTATTTCAGCTTCACCCTAACAGGAAGGTGAGCTCACGGGGCTCAAACTGGAATGTTGCTAACACTGGCCCTAGCAAGAGCAGTGCTTCGCAGAATCTACCACCGGATCGAAAACGCGACCCACAGAAGATTCGGCGAGAAACTCACTGAGCTGTGTCTATGGGTTAATTCGCTTGTCGAGCTCTTCGTCGCAAGCGACGGGTTCGACGAGGACGGTGCACGGACGGGGACTGCTAATGAACGCCCCGTATGATTTTGGCTTAAACGCTTTCGTGATGGAAATTTTGATTTGAAGAACGAACCACGTGGGAGACAGTCCACGCATGTGAATAACAATGAATTGAAAGAGATGATGGAAGCCGATCCGAGTCAAACTAACCAGGACTTAGCGGCATGGTATAACGTTGCCTTACCAACATTAATGACTCATTTGCGTCAAATCAATAAAATAAAAAATCTGAAAGTGGGTGCCTCATGATTTGACTAATCTGCAGAAATAAACGCGTGTTGAAACTTGTGTTGCCTTGTTGAGTCGATACAGAAATGAAGGAATATTGGATCGAATTGTGACTTGTGATGAAAAGTGGATTATTTACGATAACCGTAAGCGAAAAATGCAATGGCTAACCCCAGGTCAAACGCCTCAACAGTGTCCTAAAGCAAAGCCAATAAAAAGGTAATGGTAACTGCTTGGTGGTCTCAGCATGGTGTTATTCACTACAGCTTTCTCCGATCTGGTCAAGCAATAACGACAGATGTCTACAGTGCCGATTCATGAATCGATCTTCACCATGATTGCGCCATGATAACGCGAGACCTCATACAGCACGAGAATCTGTTGTAACTCCACAGGAACTGCAATTAGAAACCATTCGTTGCCCTCCGTATTCGCCAGACCTTGCTCCAACGGATTACCATATTTTTCGCGAATTGGACAATTTTCTACGTAATAAAAAGTTTTCCACCCAGGAGGCAGTACTTCTACTGTGCTTTCACACAGTTTTTTAGATCTAGATCATCAGAGTTGTATCACAAAGGCATAAATAACCTTCCTAATAAATGGCAGCACTGTATAGATAATAATGGTAGATATTTTGATTAAATAAATATGTTAAATGAAAAAAGACACGAATTTCTATTTTTCAGTCATCATCATCATCATCATCATTTTTCAGTACAAATCAGCAATTTTATACTTTAACCCCCAATACATTTCATATTATTTCATTTGACTTTTCGATCTACAAATAAACACAGTCACAGCTTTTTATTTAAAATAGTTGACGGTATGGTTTACTGATTTCTTTGCCTTTCTAGTGGAGGAAGCAAATAAGCAACAATATTTCAAAGTCTGACAGATACCAGTTTGACTTTTATGGTTTTACCTACTTTGTCGTGAGTTTTATCTTTGTGTTTTTTTAAGATACTACGCCTACGCCTACATTTAAACCTTGCCTTTTAACAAAATGCGAGCATTATTCCAAAGATAATTGAATGAGTGAGTCAGGCAGTGACTTAGACGCAACCGAGCACACTGCACTCATGGACGGCCACATCGCAGAAGCTCGTCCTGACAGGGAGTTAGCTGAAAGGATAGCTAGGAAACGAAAGACTAAATCCGATAATCAGCGCTCCTATGGCGTAAGTATTAACAGTTAATTAAGGCTTTGTTATTTAATCAAAACAAAAATAGAAAAATCAAAAGAAAACATGATTAGCATAGGATAGGATACAATACAAGTAAAATATTCAAAAAACCCCGATGTAAACAAACACTGTTTCGAATTCTATAAATAAAAATTAAGTTCACATTAAATTAGGGATTGGTTGCAAAATGTTTTTTTTTTTACATTTAAAAATAAATTCCCAAAATAAACTTTCACAGAGTGTAGAACAGATTGAAGGTGGCCCATCGGGGGCTTCTATTGCCCAGCAACCTCGAGTTCCAGCAGCACCAGTGGAACCACAGATTGAGGAGCTGGAGTTGAAGTATGGGGCTCGCCATGTCATCAAACTGTTTGTGCCTGTCACATTGTGCATGCTCGTAGTTGTTGCAACAATATCATCTATAAATTTTTACTCCGTTAAAGATGTATATTTGTAAGTATTTTAATCTTATACTGTTATGGGTAAAACCAAATGTTTTAGTACATTTTGTGATTATAGACTTAGGTGATAGTGCTGAAGTACCAGCACACCATAAGATGATGTTATCCTAATATAATAGAATAAAAATTTACAGTTGCAAGAGTAAGTGGAAGTTTCCTTCAACCTGTCTTTTTGTTATATTAAGTGCTTCATAAAACTGTTAACTAAAACAAGGAGGCTAGTAGTTAATTTATGTTTTAGATTTGGGAACAGTTGCAATAAATTCTAAACTATTAAATTCACATTTTTTTATTGCCCTTGTGGGCATACGACCCACCTGATGGTGAATGGTTACTGTCGCCCATGGACTTCAGCAATGCCAGGGGCAGAGCCAAGCTGCTGCCTACCGACATACGTACATACAGTAAAATGTATAGTAATTTGACAAGGTTGAGACAGAGCTTATTATTTAAATGAATCTGCGATTGGATAATTAGAAGTCCTGTGAGAGTGATGTTTGAAAATATGACAGAAGTTTTTTGTTTAAGTAAATATTGAATAATAAAAAAAAACTTCCTTTGCTGCTATGACATCACGCACCTTAAGACAAGAGACCTAACTCACAATTATATATTATTGCAGTTTGGATTACTGCTGTTCTAACCCTTTACTCTGCTATGAGTTCTTGACTGGATTTGTGCACATTTCTAGTGTAATAGAAAAATTAAAAAAACTTAATATTGTTCATATGTATATAAAATATTATTTCAGGGCATATACACCGTTTCATGAAGAGAGTCCATACGCATCAACAAAAGTGTGGAATGCATTGGCCAATTCAATGATCTTGTTGTGTGTGATTGCATTAATGACGGTGTTACTTATTGTGCTTTACAAGAAAAAATGCTACAAGACTATTCATGGATGGTTGATTCTATCATCATTAATCTTGCTGTTTCTATTCTCTTACTTGTATATTGAGTAAGTATTGTAACATCTAATGTAATAAGTTCCTGCTACTCATGTGTGTGCAAAATGGGCACCACTCTCAGATGAATTTTATTTCAGATTAATCTAAGACACACGAAGATATATAAATGTAAATGGAAAATAACAGCTGTGACCATCACCTCTTATCATTCCAATTCAAACAAACTGCCAAGATTCTTTTTGTATGCAAATAAACATAATTATTATTATTATTTTATGGATTCTGAAATAAATGTTTTATTATTTATTTATTTATTACAAATATCTACAAATATATTTAAAAATTATAGTAAATTTTTCAGTGGTTTAAAATAGTCCCAAATTTTCACTGTCTGCAATATTACATTAGTCTTCTGGAATCATGACTGAAACGGAACTTGGAAATATTATCGCTTGGTTACTGGTTACTGGGAACACGTCCAAGACACAAACAATAGAACTAATCAACTTTTTTTAACAATTATATTGACTGTTTTGGGATTGTGCAATAGAGGGTTACTTGAAACCTGCAAAATACATAATAAATCAGCATAACATAGTTATCAACTTTATAGTATCTAACTGACTTATTTTTGTCAGCAATATTAAATTGAATGCTTCTAACAAATTTGTGTGAAAAACTTTAAGGAAAATTACCTATTTGATTGCACTTTCAAAACAAAAAAATCATTTTCATGTATGAATGAAAAATGATTTTTTTTTCAGGGAAGCACTCATTGCCTATAATATACCAATGGATTATATAACTTTAGGCTTTGTGTTGTGGAATTTTGGAGTCATGGGCATGATTGTCATACATTGGAAGGGTCCGTTGAGGCTACAACAAGCTTACTTGATCTTCATTGCAGCCCTTATGGCACTTGTGTTCATCAAGTATTTGCCGGAATGGACAACATGGGCCGTTCTTGCCGTGATATCTATTTGGGGTGAGTATAATAAAATTGTTAACTAGAAAATGTGAACATTAAAGCCAATTTTGAATAGTTACTTGATACGCATTTATATTGGAAAAAAAGTAGAAGTCGAAAACATAAGATAAACTCTATAAATATAAATAACTCTATAAGTATTAAAAACATTACTCTGTATTCCCTTTTGTGATTTTTTGGGTATATAAAGTTACCTAAGTATATTTAAAAATAAATATGCGTGTCATAGTTGTTAGTTTGTTCATTAATTAAGCACAAAGGAATGTTGTTATAGATTTGGTGGCTGTATTAACACCGAAGGGACCTTTAAGAATATTGGTTGAAACAGCACAGGAACGCAATGAGCCTATATTTCCAGCTCTCATTTATTCATGTAAGTTTTAAAAAAATCTTTTAGTGTGATTACACATACTCACCTGGTATAATGTGATGCGCCCACCAATATTGATAACTTTCATATCAAAATGTTTTTAACCACAAAAGACAACAATAAAAAATATGTGTTGATAAAAATATTGAACCTAAACTGATTAATGGTCACCAAAAAGTAGAAATTGTAATAACCAATAAATAGTGCATTTTGTATTTCAAATATTTTTTAATAAAAGCGAGAAAAGTATAAGTAGAAATTGTAGTGACTATACTTGAGTCGACTCTTCTGACGAAAACTCTTCTGAACGACATCTTAGATAAATAACACGTTAAGTATTAACCTTTATTTAATGCAGGTTTTGAACCGTATTCTTTGAAGGAGACGATTATATTCAAATCAATCTGTATTGACATAGCAAAAACATTTTTTTATCCAAATGCACAGATTGCCACCTTTGATAATAGACGACTCACTTGAGACCTTAGAACTTATATCTCAAGATGGGTGGCGCATTTACGTTGCAGATGTCTATAGGCTCCAGTAACCACTGAACTCCAGGTGGGCTGTGAGCTCATCCACCCATCATCTAAGCAATAAAAAAAAAAAAAAAAAATGTAGTACATTTCGTATTTCAAATATCTATACTAATATTATAAAGCTGAAGAGTTTGTTTGAACGCGCTAATCTCAGGAACTACTGGTCCGATTTGAAAAATTCTTTCAGTGTTAGATATCTCATTTATTGAGGCAGGCTATAGGCTATATAACATCACTTGGTACCTTAAATAGTTTCTAAACATTATATTATTCAAAAATATTTTCACTTTCTACGTAAATGAAGTCGCGAGTAAAATTTAGCGTTATGCCAAAGTAACTATTCCACGCGGACGAAGTCGCGGGCAAAAACTAGTCTATACTAATATTATAAAGAGGAAAGATTTGTTTGTTTGTTTGTATTGAATAGGCTCCGAAACTACTGAACCGATTTGAAAAATTCTTTCATTGTTTCGAAGCTACACTATTCCCGAGGGACATAGGCTATAATCTTTTTTAAAAAAAATTAGGGATTCTTACTAAAACTCCAATAATGTAACCCAACGTTTAAAAAAATTACCTAAAATATTCTTTACATCGCGTGCCCCGCTAAAACTATTCATGATAGAATAAAATGATGCACTACGACTTTGTAGAACACATTATTATTTACAAGAAGTGTCGCGACAGCATATGTCTAACTATTATAGTTACGCCGCAATAAGTGTTCTTTTATTTAAAAAAATAAAACAACGTTAAATATCGTTGAATTTTTGTTAAAGACCCGAGCAGAGCCGGAGCGGGCCGCTAGTTTTTTAATAAAAGCGAGCTCAGTCGTTGAATTATATTGTAATGTAAATGATTTAATTCCAGCGACAGTGATGTACTGCATGGCGGCAGCGAGCCCCGCGCCCGGCGCCGCAGGTGAGCGCGAGCTGCGCCCGCTGCAACCGCACGGTCCGTCACTCTCCTCACTCCTCTCACCCCCTCACACCCTCACCCTCATTACACATTCTGCCTGATCGCTTGTGACGCTGTATCTATGTAGAATGTACTTTACTTTAGTGCCCCGGCAAAGGGGAAGGTGTAAAATAAATAACAAAATAACCACGAAATAACGAACAAATGCAACAAATAACAACAGAATTTGAGAGAAAACAGAGCGCGTCTGAGAACAAAGTCAGTACTGAATATTTTTTTGCATGCAGCACGCGCCGTGTGCGACTAAAGACAGCAATAGTTTAGAGTGAGAGCGCATGATCGCCGCCGCCGTTTTAGATTCGTTTCTTTATTGGCGCGGCTAGAAGATTGCACAAAGTGGGAATGAATTGCTCGCTCCGGGCATTTCAATATTGCAATAATTGTTACGTTATAATAATCATTGTAATATTGAATATTTAAAAAAAATCTAATATTTAAAAAAAAAAAGACATGCCCGCTGAGTTTCATGCCAATTCTTCTCAGGACGGAGGCTAGTTTTTGTGAATTGGCGGTAGTTCTTTGGACGTTCAACAATTATGTACTTTCATTTATGTCAGCGGTCGGGGAACTTTTTTAATTATTACCCCAAAATATTTTTGTGTAAGTAGATATTAATTACACCAAGGCGAAGAACAAAAAAAATACGAAGTCACTTCTTTTTAGCATCTTTCATATTATAGCCCCCTTGATAATTTTGAAAAAGATACATAATTTTTTCGTTTCACCGAGTTTGAAATCACAACGATTCAAAGAAGTTTCACTTCAATATATACTTTTTAACTCACAAAAGTTTAATTTTTACCCCCCCAAAATTTCATGTTACCCCATTTGGGGTAATTTACCCCGGTTCCCCGACCGCTGATTTCATCATCATTCTTTCCTATTACCCTCTGCTTTGGTGTAGGGCTCAAATCAAATTTTTCCATTTACATCGGTCTTGAGCAGTCTGTTCTAGCTCCTCCGCTGATTTATGTTGAATAATTTTTTTTTTATTTGTTTTGATATAGGAACTGTCGAGGGCGAAGGTCGCGACGGCACGGAGGCGGGAGGCGGAGAGGCTGGGTTCGACGCGGCGTGGAGAGAGCGGCGCGACGAGGGTGCGGCGCCGCGCCGGCTGCGGGTCGACTCGGCGCCGCCGCGCTACGTCACGCGCCTCGACCCGCCGCACGCGCCGCCACACGCGCCCGACCTCGACGAGGAGAGTCAGTATTTACTTATATTTTGAAGTCGTCGTAGCCTAAAGGATAACACGTCCGGTGCATTCGTATGTAGCGATGCACCGGTGTTCGAATCCCGCAAGCGGGTACCATTTTTCTAATGAAATACGTACTCAACAAATGTCCACGATTGACTTCCACGGTGAAGGAATAACATCGTGTAATAAAAATCAAACCCGCAAAAATTATAATTTGCGTAATCACTGGTGGTAAGACCTCTTGGGAGTCCGCGCGGTTAGGTGCCACCACCCCGCCTATTTCCGCCGTGAAGCAATGGTGCGTTTCGGTTCGAAGGATGGGGTAGCCGTTGTAACTATACTGAGACCTTAGAACTTATATCTCGAGGTGGGTGGCGCATTTACGTTGTAGACGTCTATGGGCTCCAGTAACCACTTAACACCAGGTGGGCTGTGAGCTCGTCCATCCATCTAAGCAATAAATAAATAAAAAACTTTATTTTTATTTTTCCTACCTATGCTGATAGCCTTGAGAAGCTATTTCATATACGCCTTGACGAAGCTCTCGATAATATTAAGTTAAATATCGCAGAGTTTTGCAAAAGTACGTTTCCGAGAATCACTTTATCTTGTAGGTATAAATAAATTTTATTCATAAATTCATGGAACAGGATTTGTTTTTTATTGCGGGACTACTTTATGGATTATTTGTTTTCCCGGCATATGGTAATTCGGATCGGACGACCATCTACCACCAAAGCAAAGAAATGGGCACTCAGAACTCTCATCCCACTATAAAACCACTGGTGGTACTCATAATGTACTCACAAAAATGTTATATAATCCTGATCCACTTACTGTGCAGCAATTTTTTTATGCTTTTATATTTCATTACCATTAATTAATAGATAGATAAAGATATAAATCAATTAATATTTTGTTATTTTAAAATGGCAAATCACACTTATTAGGCCATTATGCAGCAATAAACGTCTTTCAGCTGATTATTATGAAATTTAAAATAAATTCTTGTTTGTTTTCAATATCGACTTTTTAACAGACAAGTCGACGTATTTTTATATATTTTTGTTTGCAGAAGGCGTAAAACTTGGTCTAGGTGATTTCATATTCTATAGTGTCCTCGTAGGAAAAGCAAGTTCATACGGCGATTGGAATACAACATTAGCCTGTTTTGTAGCTATACTTATAGTAAGTACAAACACCTACTAATCTATTTCATGTAATATGTATTTATTTATTTTTATTGTCCTTGTAGGCAGACGAGCATATGGCCCACCTGATGGTGAGTAGTTACCGTCGCCCATGGACTTCAGCAATGCCAGGGGCAGACCCAAGCCGCTGCCTACCAAAAACCTTAATAGTAAACATAATATCATGTTTCTGCAGGATGCATGAGCAAACTACTCGTGCCATTCCGTTTTTATTCATCTGAGATAAGCTCGTTCCAATATTCAATGTTTGATTCAAATCAGTTGACTAAACATTTTTTTATAATTATTGACATATCTTAAGTTATACATATTGATTCTTCATGATCATACATATAGTAAATCTTAAGTTGATTCTAGACATAATTAACGATAAATATAAATAATTTGTGGCATAAGGCTTTAATTACATTTGCGTGTAGAGCATCGTATAAAATAAACCAAAAAAAAAAAGAATTCTGCACTCAAATGTAATAAATTTTCAATGAGCATATTATTATGGTGTTTGCAGCCTTGTGTGACACAAGGCTCCTGATTTTAGATAGACATTAACATATAAAAAAAATGAATTAGTTCTGATTGATTTAAATTGCCACTATTATATTTATAAATATTTTTCCAGGGTTTATGTCTAACACTCCTGCTGCTCGCCATATTAAAGAAGGCTCTTCCGGCGCTCCCTATATCGATAACATTCGGACTTATATTCTATTTCGCAACGCGATCGGTCGTGAAGCCATTTGCGGACGCTTTGGCGGCGGAACAGGTGTTCATTTAGCAAATACTCGTGTGTGCGTAAGGTAGATAGAAGTCGACAAACATTCTGTAAAAGCAGATCACATTTTTATGTTAAAATTAAATTGCAGTATTTTATTTTAATTATTTTCGTATTAATTAAAAATGTGTTTCGATATGTGTATAAAGGAATTTATTTGTTGCAAAAAAAAAAACTCCAATATTTCATTGAAACGATGGGAAAAATAACTTATTTTGAAATAATATGCGTAAATTCGTTAATCCGGAACTAACGAATTTGGAAATAGAGTGCCCCCGTAAACTAACTTTGCGTAACCATACCGAATTGCATTTTTTATTGCTACCAGAGTCAATTGATTAGAGGGCCCGTCTAGTGGTAATTACCGTAGCCCGTGGACATCTGTGAAGATGAGCGCGGCCAGCTCACTGTTCGTCTTTTTTTGTAATATCGCTCAATTCTTACCTTCAAATACCAAAATTGTTTACGATATAGACTTGTCTTAATATCGGTCGTCATAATTAAGACAATGTAAAATATTACTTTGATTCCCTATTCATTGGCTTTATTGACTCCGCCCATTCGACGACATAGGAGTGAAGAGTACTTATTTTGGCGGACTAATGCCTCGCTTTTTGCTCAAAATTCCCATGCCTGATCGTAGCAAGTGTAGTTTAGCTACGGCGTTTCCATCGAAGCAACGTTCCTCATTAGTGAGGAAACGACTTGAGTAGCGCCTTTAGTGCCACGCTTATAATGAAATACCCACGTCTAAAAGAACACTGAAAATACTGCAGACAAAATAAAAACACTATGTATTACAAAGATAACTCAAATTCGAATCGTAACTAAAATAAAATATTCAGTTTCATTTAGGTATTTCATACAATTCACAACAATACAAACAAAAAACATTTTCAAAGTTAAATGAACATTCCACGCAAATTGACTTATGGTAATTTTAATTAATTTATGTTAGTTTAATATTATTATAATTATCTGTTTGTAAGTAACGTTCTGCAATTGTAATAAAATTTAATACATAAGTTTAACTTTTATTTTAAATAAAATTGAAACACCATACATATAGTTTTTTTCATTTTTATTAAAAAATTTGATAAAACAATAAATAGTATTATTAAACTTTTTGATACAAAGGTATATATTTATTAGTAAATAATTTATTTATTGCCCTTATATTGCTCTTTTTTTGATACGAAATCAATCAAAATGGATAAAAATCACAAAATAACAATGAAGGCTAGAATAACTTAGAATTATTGTACATTAAACCTAAAAGTGATTCAGGACTTGATTTATGGTAACTATGGTATCTAAAATAAAAATGATTTAAAGTTAAATGACACAGTGTGTGATATTATTGTGATATTATTTATCCTTTTTTTGCATTGATTGTAAAACTTTCGGCGACCTTGTAATAAACGATAACTGATGCTCATATACGCGATAAAATAAACGTCGTTAACTGATGACAAATGTAATGAATGATTCGATTTAATTTTAATAGCAGCTTGTCAAATAGCTTCACATTTCCAACTAGCTCATTCGAAAGTGCTGCACTTTTTATCTCTGTGGTAATAACGAAATTACCAATATAACGAATTTTAGTACTAAAATAGTGTGCGCCTTGCTGCAGATTTTTTTTTTAAACCTTTGTACGTTATTTTTTTTTTAGTTAAATCGAATTTTTTTCATAAAACTTGCAGTACCATCATTCTATAAAAATTGGATTATAAAATTGGTCCATGATCTTCATTCATTTAAAATTCACAACATTCTTTATAAATATAAAATATAATAAAATAGTTAAACTATAAATACGCTAACTATAAATACTCTCATTATGCTACAAACATTACGGTCACACAAATTGTGAATAATCATAAACGCATGTATAATATTATATATCTACGATTATGTTCATTACTACTTAGGTTTTCTACAACTGAGGAATGAGAAATTGGAATGATTTTCAGATATAATTTTTGATTTGGAAATAATTTAGAATTTCTAAACGAAATGATTAGTTAGTAAAAATATAAAATTACTCAAAGAGATCCTTCACATTCAAATTTAAAAACAACCTCGAGGTCTCTACAGATTAGGATTCGGAATCTCTGTAGGACCATCTTTTTTAATGACTTTCAATGTTTCCTTGTTCGGCTTGGCAGTGTCAGATGGTATCTCTTCTTTTATAGGTATTTCTTGTGTGGCAGATTTTACACCTGCCCGTATTTTTGGAGTATCTTTTTGAACCAGATTTTCTTTTCTGTCTGGTACCTGGGCACTTTCAGTTTTATGTGTTTGAGACGACTTTATTTCAGGCTTCGGAGTTGGCTTTACATCTGGAGTTTGTTTTAATTCGGGCTTGGAAGATTCCGTTACTGGTTTGGTCGTTGGTTTTGTTACCGGTTTAGAAGTTGGAGGAATCGTTTTAGTCTCTGGTTTAGGCGTAGGTTTAGCCTCTGGTTTAGGCGTTGTTTTAGTTTCTGGTTTAGGTGTTGGTTTAGTCTCTGGCTTAGAAGGTATTTTACTTTCTGGTTTAGGCGTTGGTTTAGTCTCTGGTTTAGGAGTCGTTTTAATTTCTGGTTTAGGCGTTGGTTTAATTTCTGGTTTAGGCGTTGGTTTAGCTTCTGGTTTATTAGTTGTTTTAGTTTCTGGTTTGGATGGTTGTGAACTTGGTTTAGGGGTTGGTTTTGTTTCAGGTTTGGATGTTGTTTTGGGTTCGATGTTAGCGGCGGGTTTTGGCGGTTGTACAGTTGGTTGAGATTTTTGTGGAGCCTCCGCCGTTGGTTTTTTCTCGTGCTGTTTTTGGGTCGGTTTATGCTGCTCAGTAGGCTTCGGGGCTTCAGTCTTAATTTCTCTTTTTTCTACTTTAGCTTCTTTCTGTACTGGTTTCGTTTGTTCAATTTTAGATGCGGTTTTTGGTATTTCTTTAGTTTCTACTGTTTTAGAAAAAGCTCTCAATAGTTGCGGAGGAGCAGGAACTGCCCCTATAAAATCCTGCTTATTAGGAGAGCCAGTGTATATTTTTCCATTGTAGACGATGCCATCACTTATATGCCCTAAAGTACTATCAGTATTGTCGTACAAGGCTACAATGTTCCCATTCCAGNCAATTTTAGATGCGGTTTTTGGTATTTCTTTAGTTTCTACTGTTTTAGAAAAAGCTCTCAATAGTTGCGGAGGAGCAGGAACTGCCCCTATAAAATCCTGCTTATTAGGAGAGCCAGTGTATATTTTTCCATTGTAGACGATGCCATCACTTATATGCCCTAAAGTACTATCAGTATTGTCGTACAAGGCTACAATGTTCCCATTCCAGTCTAATTGTAATAATCCAGAAAAAGCTGGAGTTAATCCAGAGATGCTTTTGAAATGCCCAATCTGTGAATTGTCAAATGATTTTAAAGAGAAAGCAAAGGTCATTACAATTATTTTATATGAAATTGAAACTTTTATTGCCTTGGAAGGTAGATGACTGTACGGCCCATCTGATGGTGAGTGGTCACAGTTGTTCATGAACGTCAGCAATGACAGAGATTTAATCAAGATGACGCCTGCTGCTTATAATAGCTATTTCTATTTTTAACATCATACTTACGTAATAAGTAATTTCGTCGAATAAAAAGTGTGGGTAGACTTTGTTTAGATATTCAAATGGTAATTCGATGAGCCTGTACAAGCGAGCGATAAGCTTCCTAACGTGCGGTGTTTCTGACATGGACTTCGTGAGCAGCGGATTATCATCATTGAACATTGTATACAATCCCACCAGTATGCCAGATCCATCAGGTAGCGCGCGTAAATTGTCTGGAGTACCTAATGGAAATATTTTAAGTCAATAAACATATTGAAATGAAACAATAGGTTTGTATCCTTGAGTTAAAACCATAGTGCGCACACCTAAACAAACAATTATGAATACATCAGTTACATATTGAGTTTTGCACAGTTGAGAGCTAAGCTTGTATTAATTACAAAAATGCATTTCATTAAATTATGTGCTATTACAATAATAACGAGCGCTCTGTGTTTAGCTCAAGCCATATACGAGAGTGACGTCAACTTTAGAATTGAACCTGGATCAAGAACGTGCTTCTTTGAGAAAGGGGAAAGCGGACATATTCTGGAAGTGTTTTACCAAGTGATCGACGGTCAACACGGAGACTTGGACATCTCCTTCGACGTCATCGATCCTAACGGTGTCAAGTTGATTTCGGACTATAAGAAACCCGAGAACTCGATCATCATCGAGTTGGATTACGACGGCGACTATGCATTCTGCATGGACAACACGTACAGCGTCCTGAACTCCAAACTAGTGTTCGTTTATGTTTCGATAGAGGCCCCAGAAAATAAAAAAGATAAAGCGGCTCCAATTACTTTTGTCGACGATGCAGGCAATGAGCGCATAGTGGAGGAAGTTCTGCAGTGGATGGGAACGGATGAAAATGGCAAAACGTATTATTTGGATATCGAATTCATAGCGGAGTCGTTGTTGCATACACTGAAACTCGTGTTGAGGGCACGTCATTTGCTCGATCGATACGGTGCGGCCAAATCACGAGACAGCTACCTCGCCGTCGCAGACACGTTCATAGTAGATGTGTGGTCCGCTTTCCAGATCACCTTTATGTGTATCATTGGCATGCTGCAGGTCTACATGATCAAACAGTTATTCAATAAGCCTTACACTGGATTAGATAAAATGTATTGAAACACGATTTAGTATCGAACGGTTTTTTAATAAATTACCTGGCAGTCCAGAGACAAATATTTCTGCGTTTCCTTTATGCGGCCCATCAATGTAGTACTTCAGCAATCGGTAGCGGAAGGTCTCGGCTACCACAATGAACTGATTATCAAGGGATGCAACAACCCCATTTGGAAACCACAAGTTCTCCAAGACAACTTTACTTTGATTTTTCGCAGTATTGTATTGCAGTAACCTATGAAATTAAGAAAATCCTTACCAAATTAACGATCTAACCACATTTTAAGAAAAAAATATATAACTACTAAATTTGTTTTTTAATAATTTTTATTTAATAACTTTACCTTCCGGATGGGTCAGCTAGTGTACTGAAAACACCATCTTTTAAATAAAAATCAGCGCTAGAATCTGTCCAATATAAATTCCCATTCTTATCCAGAATGATGCTGTTGAATATCTTAGGTACTTTTCCTTGAATTTCTACTTGAGGGGACACAAGTAATTGTTTCTTGTCAGTGATTAGATCTACTTTCCAAATACCATGATATGCATCAGCTACATATAAAGTTTTCGTTTTCTCGTCGATAACAAAACCTAATGGTCTTCCGCAGATATGTTCATAAGCAAGTCCACCTGAAAATTTTTTATATTTTGAAAAATATCCTTAGAAGGAATTGGGAATAGACATAAAATGATGATCTGTTAAAAGCAAATAGTATTTATATAAGGTGTTGTAGCCTAAGCATAAAGAAGAGAAACATTATAATGTATCTCAATATTTCATTATTAATTATCAGTCGACATTGTTCAACAGAAAGAGCTTTGCACTTATAATTTGCAGATTTGCTCATCAATACTTTATAGCTTTGTTGACAACATAAAAGTATTAGTGCAAGTTGTTTTTTATCACACTTACTGCAAGGTTGTCCAATTTTGGTTACAAAAGTAACATGACCTCCAGCTGTGAGTTTCACAATTTCTCCTGTGGCTAAACTAGTATACAATTCCCCATTAAAAGTTTGGAATGCTTCTGGTCCCAGCAATTTCCCTTTATATAGTTGTTCAGCATTATTTAGAAGCCCATTCGATTCCAATATACCTGTTCTAGGCTTTGTGGGTTCTAATCTAAAAATTGGATTAATGCTTAGATTAAGATTTTTTTCTTCAGGAATTTTAACTTCTAAGCCCATGGCTGTTCAAATATGTTATTTGTCAAATCAAATCTTAATAGTGACAAGCCACAAATATGTTTAGTTAATGATGTGCAATAACTATTTTTTACATAATTAAGATTAGAAATAACCTTTGCACAAACATTTGTTGATCAAAAAATACTTAAGAACTGCAAGGCCAGCGGTAGGCAGCGGCTTGGCTCTGCCCCTGGCATTGCTGAAGTCCATGGGCGACGGTAACCACTCACCATCAGGTGGGCCGTATGCTCGTCTGCCTACAAGGGCAATAAAAAAAAAAGGTTAGTTATTGCTTTTTGACTCCTGGGATATGGCTTTTCCACAAATAAAATAATTCAGGCACAGAATATTACTATTGTATTGCCATGAGAGACCAGTTGACATTTTTGGAAGCCCAAGGCTATAAAATATATATATAATAAAAAAATGGCACTTTGAATAAATTTCAATTACATATGTTATCTATATTTGGCTCTTCTGGTTGACAATTGGTATAGCAGTTATTTTTTGGACTAGTTGAATAATTGAACTCACGGTCTACCTGGTATTGAGCTACATATTTCCTGGGTTGATTTACACCACAATGTGAGTGCCTTCAGATATGAGACATGCCTTTAAATTGCATCAACTATGGTCTTTGCATGTAATGGTATAATTTTTTTAATTTTTTTTGTGCCGTATGTATGAAGAATGCATAAAGAATATTTATGACAAGTTATTTTATTTAATCTTTCGTTGTGTGGCTTGAGTTACTGATAGTAAAATGTAGCTATCATCCAGAAACTGCATTTAATTTATTTTTAAACATTAATTATAATATTTTCTTTAATTACTTATTTTATTATTGACCTAATATTTATTTCCACACTAGCTGACCCGGCAGACTTCGTAGTGCCTCAATCGATAAATAAAAGACCTAAGCTTTTGTATAAAATAAACTTAAAACAAACAAAAGGAATCCATCCGGAAAATTGTTATTTTGATTTAATTCTGAGCATTTTGATATTTATCTACCTTTTCAACCTTCTCTGGACTTCCACAAATAATTGAAGACCAAAATTAGCCAAATCGGTCCAGCCGTTCTCGAGTTTTAGCGAGACTAACGAACAGCGATTCATTTATAGTCAAAATCTGTTATAACGACATCGAAGGGACTGCTCATATTCAGTCGTAAAAACCGATAGTCGTAACAACCGGTGATGTTTAATGTGTATCATGCAAGTACAAACAAATCGATTGGGAATTATCAGAAAAATATATTTATTCAACTACATATGTACATTTTGTTTATTACACATAAGTACAACATGCATATTATTTTTATGTGAGCATAAAATCTGTAATTTTGGTCGTCTGTTTGGAACACTTCTGTTGTGCATAGGTATTTTATAATTCACATTGGATTTTAATTAACGTATTGTCATCTCTCAGCTCTTTCCAAATGGTTACAATTGTCGAGTGTGATACACCATATTCCTTTGCTAAGTCTTTGTTTGAAATTCCGCTCTCTAGCTTGGATATAATATGCGATTTTTCTTCAATATTAATTTGTTTTTTTTTTCATTGCGACATTTTTAAAGTTTCACTAATAACTCCACAAAGTTTTGGTGCGTCTTGTGTATAGATAAGTAACAAACTAACTGAAGAGATATGAAGAAGCGGGCTTTGACTCTAATGCATGCACGTGTTTTGTTTCTAAGAATTAGAAAAGACCCTACACTAAACTAAATCCTATTGTATTCTTTCCTGATTTTAATAGCCATTCAAGACAAATGTGGATATCTATTCAAATTGTTTACAATACAGCTTAGCCAGTCATTCTAACAGATCTAATTCTCCGAAATATTACTTAAATGTGGTCATTTTATGAGGTATGTCGTTATAAGCAATGTCGTATAAAGCAATGTTTTTAATAAGGCGGTCATATAGCATTCAGCCGGGACCTTTGTTCTAGGTTATTATAACTGGCATGTTGTTCTAACCAATGTCGCAGCAAACAGTTTTGACTGTATATATATAGAAGATTAAACAAACAAAACTGTTCTGGAATTAAAATAGAAAACTTACAAATTAAAAAAGTAACTCAGTTACATAAAATGGAGTGAAAGTTCACTAACTTGTTTTTTTTACTGAAACTACTTAATGCTACAATTATTTTATACCTTTTTTTGTGATAAGTTCCATATTTTATGTACTTGGGAGCTATGTAATTTTTTACGAAGTTATAGCAATTACCTGCTCACCTATTGAATAATGAAGCAGGCCTTTAATTGTATATTTATTACAAATGCTCACTATAGATAGATGTGTATTCAAAGTATTTATATATTTTAACAACAAGTGCGACTGGAACGATAAGCATCTGCTCATATATCAGTCTATGCTTCCAAAAAATATATTATTTATCAAACAATAGATTTTACTCACTTGATGCTTGAGAATTTAGTATATGGAGGAATGTTCGGGATTAGCACCACAGCTATTGCAAAGACTGCAATGTATAATGCCAACTTTAGCAGCTTTTTTATTAATCCTGTTATTAGCCCCATCATGTACTTCCGAGTTGAGACTAAGGATTGACAATTTACATTATGTAGATTTTTCAAAGTCAAGGCTTCAACAAAGATCAGGTTATGTTTTGTTAATCAATATAAATGCATTTTTTTTCATTCACGAAGTCAAAGCATTCGTATTTATAATATAATAATTAAAGAGTATATTGACACAAATAAAATCTCTTAAGGTCTAAACGTGAAATTATATTTTAAACAATTAGCTGATCAGGTAAACGAAAATAACATCAGAGTAATTCCTTGGTTTAAATTAAAGTTTAAATTGATAATTAGCAATAAATTACCTTTTCCGTCTCAAAAACACCTCTGGACTTTGATTTGGAATTGTAAATGTGACCCGAAACTTTTACCTATTACTTTACCACCACTACTTTTTATTTTTCTTGAAGTTTGAACCTCAAATATACCATAGACCTATATAGTAGGGACACGACATATTGTTCTATACGTACAATTGCTTATATAAATAGCACCCATTTTGAAGGCACATACATAAACATATATCTATCTCGTTCTTACTCAGCACTTTAACTCGCAGGAAAACAATATAACAGTATTTCAGTGCGTACATAAAATGAAACATGAATATACGTAAATATCTCCGTCTCCGTCTAATGAGGCCGAAAATCCGCCATGTTTAGCGCGCCAAATGTCATTGTCACGTCAGTTCGGCCGTCTGTTTTGGGTTGTACATTATTTATTGACTTTGATATCGATTTAATATGATTGATTATATAAAATTTCATAATTTATCATGCTTAAAACATACAAAAATAATAATTAAAACGTATTTTATAGGATCTCAAGAAAGTCGATGCCCTAAAACTATTATCTATATGTATTTAAATTCATTATGGAGCCCTCATCCGAAAAATCCATTTTTCGGTCGGAATCTATTGATCATGACACTAATCATAAATACCACTTTAAAATATGTCATCAAAACATATTTAGACATTCTGTTTAGATATTTCGGGAAAAAGGCTACCGACAAAATCTCTTCGGAACTATTTAAATAAAATAGTTTTATTCCGCAGTGAGTAAAACACTATTGTAAATTTGTTAAATATTTAATAATTAAGTGATTTTAGAGAGGAAGTCACAAGGAATGACGTTTGTAATTAATGAATAAATGTTCTGTAGGTGTTTTTTTTTTCACGCGGTCCCTTGATAAGTTTAAAATTTGAATCACTCTCAAGCGAAAGTGATTCAAATGGTGCGGCGCACCTTCCTTGGGGTGCGCTGCGGTAGTATGTTACGGACTTTAGAGTCAGCAAAACAATTAAAATAGATTGTAATAGTCTAAGAAAAACACGTACTCAAAATACGATAACATTTAGCATGCTAGAAATGGGCTGATGGCTTTGAACTACGCCATATCTTTATGTTTTGCGACAAACGACAACTTTATAAAATCAGTGTAGCAACTTTTAAAAATCATCATATCGTTTACTTGGCAAATTCGAAGGACGAACTTGTCTTAGATTTCACCCATCTAAATCATATCATATTTGCACATAACAATATACCTACTTACTTCCCATTAAAGTATAAATTCTACAAATAAATAATACTCAACAATATTTAAAATAAAATGAGCCAAGAACGTTTATCGATAAAACCTGATAACATTGAAATCTTTTGTACAGCACTAAAGCCGCCATGTTTTGTGGCCAGATGACGTCACAGTGGCACGAAATTTTGGTTGACGTTTCATTTCCATAGGTTTCCTACTTCATTGAAATATACTAAGTGTATAATCTATGGTTTGAACCATATTAAAGTGTATAAGGGGACTTTTTGGCGGGAACGCGAGGAGTGAAGCTGTGTGATTTGTTTTATTTTGTCTATTTAGTGTTTCTTCGGATTTAAATGTGTAATAATGGTGGTTTATTAACTTGTGGCGTTTTATTATGCGTAAGCCGGAACGCACGAGATGTGGGAAAAAGGATATAGTCTGTGACACGATACCTTTTTACCGCCAAATATGAAAAACATAAAAATAATTTATAATGTGTTAAATAACTAATTTAATGTAATTACTTTATGCCGCTACAACAATAAAATTTATATTGTTCCAACTGTGGTGTTAATTATATAAAACACGACCAGGCGCAATAAAGAAGGGACTCTATATGCACTCCCTCAAACTGTTTAATATCTGTGAAAGTACACAAATGTGGGAAAATGAAACAAACCCGCTGGACGTAACATATCGGGATCCTCCAAAAAGTCCACTGAAAAAATCTTAGTAAATGACCACCATTTTACTGAGATTATATTTCATCCCATAACATATCATCTGACTACATTTAATTTCGTCCCAGTTGATTAATTTTTCAAATTAATCATCTTCATTTCATTTAACTCCAGTTTATCATTTTTCATAAAAATAAGAATGTAAATTAAAATAAGACATGACTTAAAGGTCTTCTTTACCACAAAATCCCTTAAAAATAATAATTATCTATACTTAAAAATAAAATTAGAGTGTCTATTTGTAGTATTGAAATAACCGCTTTTTACTACATTCATATGAATATATATACGGTACATACACCAAAATAACATTTTTTACAATTTTTGTCTATCTATCTGTCTGTTTGTTCCGACTAATCTCTGGAGCGGCTGGACCGATTTTGATGAGACTTTCACGAATAGGTAGCTGATGATATAAGGAGTAACTTAGGCTACTTTTTTAGACTAGCTTTGCCCCGCGGCGTCACCCGCAGTTATTGTACCGCGCGCAACATGGCGGGACTTGCCTATCAATAATAAAATTTAATGTTTCCGAAGCGAAGCGAGGGCGGGTCGCTAGTATATTATATATAAGGACTTGTGTTCATAGAGTTAGTGGTATTTATTAACTCCATGCTTACATTGTGTTATATATGTACTTGTTATTCTACTTGCGGTTGAGGTAGGTATGTACGGTACGGTATGTAAAAGATACATTTATTTCTTTCCGATAAAGCCTTTTATCCTGAGGGTTAAAGTACGAAATTACCGATTTGTACTGAAAAATTAAAATTCGTTGTTTTTTTCATTTCATATATTTATTTAATCAAAATATCTACCATTATTATCTTTATATTGCTGCCATCTAATAGGAAGGTCATTTATGCCTTTGCGATAGAACTCTGGTGATCTAGATTCTACAATTGGCGGCGGCTTGCTTGCTTTTCTAACCTTGGCACTTTCAGAGTCTTCGTCTGTTAGATCAATTTGAAGACCACTAAATTTATTTGAGATTATCACGGGTTCTGGGGTTAGCTGGGGGCTAGCCGGCCCCCTTGACAAATCACACTCATTACTTTGACTTTCCATATTTTTTTAAATGGGTTGGGAGAAATACTAATGATACTTTCCAAGGGTACCATCGCCATTCTTATTGAGGGAATTTAGTCCTCATGGTTTGTGGTTACTATTATTCAGGTTAATTAACCGGCGCCTGTTGCTTGGCGTTGTTGCTCATTTTGCACCACCCGGAGGGCACGTGTAGGGCGGGTCTAGGAAAAGATGGTAATCCTACGGACGCGAGCAACATCTACCCCTTAAGAAGAGTATGGAAGGAGGAAACATGTTGTTCCCCAGACCCCAGGTGATTGAGAGAAGGGCAGGAGAATGATGATGATGGTGGTAACTTATTGACTATTTAACATCTGTGAATGTGGATAAATGAGAAAAAATGAAACAATGCCGCTGAACGTAACCTCTCGGGCGCTTCCAAAAAGGTAATTGAAAAATCTCAATAAATAACCATAATTTTATTGAGAGCTTATTTCATCCCAACTCTTCTTGATTTATTTCATTTAATCTTAATTGATTAAGTCTCAAATAAATCAAGTTTATCTCATTTCATTCATATTTGTTGCTTCATATTGTTTATCAAATAATAAATTTTAATAAAATTACTATGAAAGATTTGGATGTGTGGTGTGATACCTTCGCTTTTTTTGTTAGATAAACGGAACTACTACATTTTATTTTGACACTTACTGCCAGTGTCACTGCTTTTTCAACTTGTCGTTCTTTCGTTCAAGTTCGCCATCTTGAAGGTGTATCTAATTTGTTGCTCGTTAGCGAGAAACAATTTAATTTCTTAAAATGGGCCACGCAAATATTTGGTATTCTCACCCTCGCAGATACGGACAAGGATCCCGGTCATGGTATGTACACATTTATCAATTTGTATCGAAATGAAACTTTCAATGCAATGTTTGGTTATTACACGTGCTGAATGGTTGAATTATAATTTTGCAGCCGATCCTGCTCCAACAGGCATGGCTTAATCCGCAAGTACGGTTTGAACATATGCAGACAGTGCTTCAGAGAGTATGCTCATGACATAGGATTCAAGAAGGTAATAATGCATATTTTATTCCTGTTCCTGTATATTTAATCCTGTTTTTCTCAATAAGACTGGTTTTTGTCCTCATTTTTTCTGTACTAATGTGACGATTCTATTATTTTCCTTTTTTGGTTGATATATTGGCATCATAGGCCATTGTTTAGTTAAATACCGTGATACCCCTCGAGGTACTTCTACGACTTCCTTATCATCCTTCCATAGTGCTCAGTTAATTCTCTACTTCCTATACGTTGGTTAGTTCATTATTGTATGTTCACTACTGGTAGGCCATTTTTTTGAGTACAGCTTTGTATAACCTTATCTTTTTATTGCTCTAGATGCCCAGAAGAGCTTAAGGCTCAGTGCGCATAGATATCAATCACAAAATAAATGCTACTTCGGAGGTCGTCTCGGGCAGTTGTTAGCAAATCCCACCCCTCTTGGCTGAGCCTTTGCTCGCCCACCTGTCCTGGTGAAACTGGAAAGGCCTTCGGGCCACCAGTAAACTTTCAATCATGAAAAAAAAAAAAAAATAAAAAAAAAAATGCTACTACACAATAGGTCTTACTTGAATTAAAATTCATTCTTTCAAATAATACTAAAGGAGATAGAGCTACCCACATTACCCAGTGTTGTACTATAAAGCTAATATCCAGTACTAAAATAAGTGAGAGAATTAGACTTTGAGAACAGGACAGTGACATTTCAACTCTTTGTTATAAAATATATCTATACTGAGACTTAAGAACTTATATCTCAAGGTGGGTGGCGCATTTATGTTGTAAATGTCTATGGGCTCCAGTAACCTCTTAAAACCAGGTGAGCTGTGAGCTTGTCCACCCATCTGAGGAATAAGGGGAAAAAATTCATTTGAATTTTTTTTTTTTTTTGTGAATATGTAGATTATTTTGAAAAACAAAGATTAGTATAGGTACTAATACTAATAACTAGGTATCGTACTTTGGGCAATATTAATATGTTTTTGTTTGTTTCAGCTGGACTAAATGGAGTAGGAATAATAAATTTTACTTTTAAGTAAACACCTTGTTTTAATTGGTCATTTTTTACTACACTTATAGTGTTTAATTTTTTTTTTCCTACCTATGCTGATAGCCTTGAGAGGCTATTTCAGCTTCGCCCTAACGTTTGTAGGTGAGCTCACGGGGCTCAAACCGGAGAGTTGCTAACACTGACCCTAGCTAGAGCAGTGCTTTGCAGAATCTACCGGATCGGAAACGCGACCTACTGAGAAGATCCGGCGAGAAACTCAGTGGGCTGTGTCTGTGGGTTAATTCGCTCGTCGAGCCCTTCGTCGCAAGCGACGGGTTTGACGAGGACAGTGACCGGTAGTGTTTATATTTTCCTACATTAGAATATGACAGAGTAAAATGATAAATTATTTTTTAAATGATAAATAGTCATCATAAAGTTGTGAATGATTAGAACATTATGATATGAAGTTTAACTAACATACAAATCACCAATAACTGAGCAAACTAGCTTATAAATAATTTTTTTTATTGCATAGTTGTGTGGACGAGCTCACGGCCCACATGGTGTTAAGTGGTTACTGGAGCTCATAGATGTCTAAAACATAAATGCCACCACCCACTTTGAGATATGAGTTCTAAGGTCTCAGTATAGTTAAAACGGCTGCCCCACCCTTCAGACCAAAATGCATTACTGCTTCATGGCAGAAATAGACAGGGTGGTGGTACCTACCTTTGCAGACTCACAAGAGGTCCTATCACCAGTAAGATCTCTCTCTAACACCAGTAAGTCCCTATGAGAGTCTCCATGGTGAGAAGTGATGTGATAAATAATACTGTTAGGTGGTTCAATAAAACAGCCAATATAGAAATTTAGAATATATTACAAGTATTAAAAAATCTGTACAAAAGTAAAAAAAAACTTCAAAACTATACAATTACAGATATAACTATGGTATCTAACAAGTATTTACACAGTATTCGCATTCGCTTGAGATTGTCGGAAGTTTACTATTGTTGAACCAACTCTCTGTAACAAATAAAAGTGAGTTATTGTCAGATTCCTTACTCGACCTTGCATGAATATGTAAAGTAACACCAAATGTTCAGGATAATGTTAATAGGGCTGTTAAAACAATAAAATCGTGACATAAAGGAGTTCTTTAAAAATGATAGGTGGGCGAGGTTAGTGCTCATAATATGGTTAAGTTATTACTGGAGCCCAGACAGCCACTGCTGGCTCACACTATATCCGTTTGGGCTTACAATACGACCTGCCCACAGTAAATACCGCTGGCGAACTGCACTGATAGGATACAATGAGAACGCCGCTGCCTATTCTCCAATGAATACCAAGAGATGAGATGAGTGATTCTATTTTGGACCCATCACACGTCACGTGTCTACTGTATAATTTACACATATTTGGAATCGAAAAACCGATTGCTTAGTCGTCGAGTAAGAAACTCGATACTTTGATAGATTGCGATTATTCGATTATTTATAGTAGGTACAACTAAAATTGCCCGTAGTAGTGGAGGCCGTACACTCCGCTTGTGTTAGAAATTTCAACAGCACCAGATGTGGCAGGATAATTGTGCCAACCAATGCTGACTCACAATCCATCCATCCTGCCATCAGTGTGGACTTATTTGGGTATCAGTGCCAAGTGGCGTGAATAAATAAGGCGTAAATAAACAAGGCGTGAATAAATTAAGTCTTCGCATAAGTAGACCTGCTAAGTCTACTAGTTTACGTTAACATTTTATTTATAAGTTCTATTTTTTGTTAAGATACTTATTGCCCGAAAAAAATAAAGGAGGAAACAACATCTAGTGGTAAGCGGTTACCGTCGCCCAAGAAAATATCTTAACTAAACTTAATGGATATTTTCGGACAGCATTCAAGAATTGAGCATATTGTTAGCCCACCTTTTGGTTTGAAGATACGTGAGAGTTCCTCTACCGATCGACAGTATTAAAGAACAAATCAACTAACTACTGACGTAGGTTTGGAATGTCAATGCGGATTTTACAAGGCTCTTTAACGAAATACTTCTTTTTTCGTTTCAATTAACTTCACGAAGAAACGAAAATGTAAATATAAATTGAATTGAAAAGTAAATTGTAAATTTATATAATTAACGAACACTGAAGCTTAACTAACCTGCGTAACTCCGGCCAGCAATGCAAGAAGACTTCTTTGTGGCGGCCTGCAATGTTTTTTGCCACCCTCCGCGCAACACAAGTTCGGGAAGCAATCCACGCTGGAGCTACAGCGTTGAGGGAACACGTCGTATTGAGGTGGCGGTGTACATTGTAAATACTGCTCCAACATTCGTACCGCTATAAAATTAAGAATTATTCATATATAATAGGGAGCTTAAATACATTTCTTTTATAACTAATTTGTCGAATAAGCGTACTGTCTGACTAAGGTTACGGGCTTTATCAGCTTTTTGTTTGTCATGATGCATTTCAGCAGTCCGATTGCAACATGAATTTTTCCTACCTAACTGCAGTATCCTTGAGGGGCTATTCCAGCTTCACTTTGGTTAGTGAGGGAGTCGACGAGGCTCAACCTGAGAGAATTGTTAATATCTAGCAAGAGCATGACTTTAGTGAATCTGGCCGTTTTCCAATTACAGCACAAGAGCGCATTATGCGGCATAATGCTCAACTAAGCTTCAGCATAATTCGGCATTGTGCGTCACTGAGTCTCATTATGCTCTGTAATTATGGTTAATTACAGAGCATAACATTCTAAAACATCACTGAGTCGCATTATGCTCTGTAATTGGAAAACTACCATTAAGTAAACCATTACTGCCGAATTATGCTGAAGCTTAGTTTAGCATTATGCCGCATAATGCGCTCTTGTGCTGTAATTGGAAAACGGCCTCTATCTTCGGGTCGGAATCGCGGCCCACTGCGAAATTCGATGAGAAACTCTAATGGGTTGTGTCCGTCAGTTAAATAAAATGACGTGTCTAGGGTGACGACGGCTGTAAGTTACCCCTTCGTCTGGTTCGGTGGTAACTTGAGGCGTTATGTTGGACTCTACTTCGTGTAATATATTTCTAACTGCGTGTAGTTCAAAGGAGTGCAAATTAATACTTTAAATCAAGGATGAGCGGCGCCCGCCAAGCGTTTCTAAAATTGAATTAATTTTATCGATTCGTTTTTCTGTTCTTTTCTTGTTTGTTTTTAATAAATAAATAATGTTTCGTAAATTATTAATAAGAGTTAATCTATGTGCGGCCCGCCAAAAAAAAAAACTTTAAATTGGCCCATTGATTAAAAAGGTTGCTCACCCTTACTTTAAATGATATTCGTAATACAAACGTTACGTCTCCGTGCTCCGGTAATTACTTAGCACCAGATGAGATCAGAATTCGCAGGCATTCCCTAAAACTGAATTTTTAGTACTAACGGCCATCTATCTGGTTAGCGATGGGCACCAGGTCAAGGCGAGCTCGTGCCGTCCGACAGTAGGAGCGGGTGCCGTCGGGACAGCATATACGAGGCCAGCAATCTGAATCAGTCTTGCACGATTGCACTTCGAACAAGAGTTCACCCAGTGGTGCCGCAGGACATTCTCGAGGTACCACTCCAAGTAATGCTGAGAAGAAATCGGAGGATAAACAAGAAAGTTATGATGATGATTCAGTATACATATCGATTTATATTGTCCTGTGCAGGGCCTTATTTAGAGGTCTGGAGGCCACGGGGCAACAGGAGTGGAAGCCTCCTCCCTGGCCCCAAATTATTTTCCAAATAAAATGAACAATTTTTTTCAGTCGAGTTTTCCAATAAATAATTTATTGTAAAACCAAGTGGATTCTCTTAATATTTAACAAACATAAATATATTCGGAGACAAGAATTATCTGAAATTAAATTTTGGAGGAAGGAAAACATGTTTACTACTGTTTACTTGTCGGAATTTGAAAGCTTTTTTTCCAATGTCTCTATTGTGCGGGCCTTCCGTTTGTCGAGGCCCCGGGGCTTTCACCCCGGTTGCCCTCCCCTAATTCCGGCCCTGGTCCTGTGCTTAGTTACTGCGACTTTTTTAACTTCTCGATCGCGTAAAAACAGTCGGCAACAGTTGCCGATAGCGGCAATCGTTCCAACTCCATACTAATTTGAGTTAACTTGTACGCGAACGAGTTAAAAAACTCGTCGTCGAAGTCGTCGTGGCCTAAAGGATAAGACGTCCGGTGCATTCGTGTTGAGCGATGCACCGGTGTTCGAATCTCAGGCGGGTACCAATTTTTCTAATGAAATACGTACTCAACAAATGTTCACGATTGATTTCCACGGTGAAGGAATAACATCGTGTAATAAAAATGAAACCCGCAAAATTATAATTTGCGTAATGAGTCCGCGTGGGTGGGTACCACCACCCTGCCTATTTCTGCCGTGAAGCAGTAATGCGTTTCGGTTTGACGGGTGGGGCAGCCGCTCTAACTATACTGAGACCTTAGAGCTTATATCTCAAGGTGGGTGGCGCATTTACGTTGTAGATGTCTATGGGCTCCAGCAAGCACTTAACATCAGGTGGGTTGTAAGCTCGTCCACCCAACTAGACAATAAAAAAAAACCGTTTGTTCCGGCCAATCTCTGGAACGCCTGGACCGATTTTGACGAAACTTTCACTGATAGGTAGCTGATGATATAAGGAGTAACTCAGGCTACTTTTTTTAGACTAGCTTCGCCCCGCGGCTTTATCCGCAGTTATTGTCGTACCGCGAGCAACATGGCGGGCTTCGATTACCAATAGTAAAATTTAATGTTTCCGAAGCGAAGCGAGGGCGGGTCGCTAGTTATTGATATTTCTAAAGTTATTAGATCGCAGGATCGCAGCGTTACTTACGCTGGTGAGTCTGCGGCGCCGACGTCGGCCGTGGGGCGGGCACACCTTTGACGCAACGTTTATCGCAACAAACTTGGTCTGGCCCGCTGCTGGCGCGGCATTGGGCATTGTTGTCGCACGGAATCGGGAACAGAATGACAGGCGCTGTTCCCCTCTTCGGACACACCAGCTTTTGTGTTTTTCCTGCGCTCGAGTAATCCACGTTATACTCGTAAACCGAACCAATGTTGCGTGTATGAGAATAATTTACGTCAAAATCACTTTTTACGCTGTTGCCTACAATTTAAATAATAAATTCTGACGCTAAAGATGTAGGTACTTCTACAGTCAAATCACAAACTGAGAAAAAGCTAATTTTCTAATTACCAATTAAGCGAACCTTTAGCTATTACATTTTACAATTATTGATTTTTTAACAGACTTTAGAATTAAGTACCGATCACATAGTGTTGTGCTGAAAATTCATATATGGATACAAAAGAGCAATCTTACCAGTTTTAGCTGGGGCCTTTGCTAGCGCCGTGGTAGCTTCAGGTATCTGTATAGGTAACAGCTGTAGGAAAGGTAGCGACGCTTCCGTTGTGGTGGTGGTGGTGGTCGGCGGCGGAGGCGGAGGCGGTGGTGTCGTCGTTGTCGTTGTTGTCGAGCTGGTGGTACTCGGAGTCGTTGTAGTCGTTGTCGTGGTAGTTGTGGTAGAAGTGCTTGTACTAGTTGTTGTGCTTGTGCTCGTGCTTGTGCTTGTACTACTAGGCTCGACTACACTACTCAGGATCTGAACGGGGGTTGTGCTAAANGTGGTGGTGGTGGTCGGCGGCGGAGGCGGAGGCGGTGGTGTCGTCGTTGTCGTTGTTGTCGAGCTGGTGGTACTCGGAGTCGTTGTAGTCGTTGTCGTGGTAGTTGTGGTAGAAGTGCTTGTACTAGTTGTTGTGCTTGTGCTCGTGCTTGTGCTTGTACTACTAGGCTCGACTACACTACTCAGGATCTGAACGGGGGTTGTGCTAAAACCAATATTCGAACTATGATAAAAAGGCGGGGGTGCAACTAGATCTACATATCGACGCTTGAAAGGCAAACGTGACTAAGCGACAATGCGTGATCTTTACAGTAGACTAATTTAAAGTTGAAATACATGAAAACAAAATTTATTTTAACGAATCTAGCTGTAGTAGAACCTAGCTAGTAGCTGTAGGATTGAAATGATTTTAATGGACCTAGAAATACCTATATTTTTTTTGCGCATCGAATATGGTTATTGCCTATCATTTATGTACAAAGCAGTTATTGTTGCTTAGTCATGTTTGCCTTTCAAGCGTCGATATAAAAACATTTGATCTACAAACTTAGTGAAGCTCCAACATAGTTTCACTACTCTATATTATGTAAACTACGTACCAACCTACCTAATTGAAATTCTAGGACAGGAACAGCAATTATCAGTTCGAAAGTTAGCAACTAACTAATTATTTTGATTACCTATAGGTACATAGTTGTAAAACTTCGAAAGCAACTTTCAGATTAGAATAACGGTTTCCGAGAAAAGTAATTTTATTTTACGAAAAATTGTTTTCGCGAACATCTAAGACTCTCTTCCGAATATTTGTTAAACAATGCAAAGATAGATTATTAAAATAAAAAAAAATTCATTAATCGTATCCTGGACTGAAATTTGTCAGACAACCCATAGGTATGCCTATGCCTATATGCCATATGCCTATGCCTATATGCCATATGTCTATGCCTATATGCCATATGCCTATGTCTATATGCCATATGCCATATGCCAATGCCTATGCCTATATGCCATATGCCATATGCCATATGCCTATGCCTATATGCCTATGCCTATATGACATATGCCTATGCCTATATGCCATATGCCTATGCCTATACCCATATATTTATTGACATATTAAATTGAATATAAAACACGTTTCATCAAATAAAAATCTCGGTGAAGGTCGTTTTATATCTGGATCCTATACTATTAGAAGCATTCCTTGAGTAATAAAGGTGCTCACTGTTTAATCATGGTCGTGTACTAAATATAAATCTACCTGTGCATTTCTACTCTGCAATCATATTTGCATCGCTTTCATGTCTACTGTTGTAACAGCTTCAATGAAAGAAGCGTTAGAAGCGTCTAGAAGCGTTAATGAAAGATAAAGAATATTAAACAGTCGAGCAAATCACAGATTCGAGCCCTTTAATACTGAAGTCTGGTCAAGGTTTTAACTAGGTCCGTGACCGATAGCATTTATCATGGTTTTTAATGTAATTATTACATGTTTCTGATTTACCCAAGGACAGTGTTTCTCAAACATTACAGGCCAGATTAAAATTGTAGGTACTTGTAAGATTACTATTCTAATGCATTCTATGTATGAATTTTAGAAAGACCTTGTAATAAATTTAACATTTATATCATAGATTCGAAGAAGAACCGTTAGACAGTTAATGATTGACTACAAATTTTATTAGTGTATTATTATTGTGTAGAAGTTTTTCATTTATAGTATAGTTACATATAGTCCAGTAGAAACGCGCCGTCTAGTGACATATTGCAGTATTCCTAACAAGCTCTAAAAACAATTTAAACTCCTCTTTTGATGTTACGTTCTAGTTAAGCAGTAGAATTCAGATATAATACGTTTGGCTTGAGTGAATCATAATGAAAATAATTTAAATGTGGGTCTAATAGTATGAATATCTCCTATTGGCCTACCAACATTCTAAAACATACCTTAGCTTAGGTACCTACTTACAACATGTAGTCTACAAATTATCCTAATCTAAGCACAAATAAAAGTTCGCGCTTGCAAAAAAAATTGATATTGTTTTTAATGCGGACTAACATTTAACAAAGTATATTATTTAAATTATATGGGCAACGAAAAATTGCCTATTAAAATCGGCTTTCACATTATAAATACATTGACATTTACGAAATATTTGTGTAGTGGATACGATAGCTATACTTTCATTTCTGTTTCTTCAGATAATAAAGAAATAAAGTAGTAACAGCACCAGTCCATATTATGATTATATAAACTAAAAATGCTTTTGTCCCCAGTTTAAGTAATTGATTTGTTCCCACAAACACGCGCTTAGCTGCCGTCCTTGTCCTAAAATGCCGTTTCAACTTAAGTTGTTTATCATTCACTTGTTTAAAATAATTACATTATTCGTTTCCAGGAAATATTGAAATTGTAGATAATCGAAAAGGTTAATTTAAATTAACACAAAAGCGAAAGTATTTTTTTTTTAATTGACTGACCTTTGTATTGCTGCTGTGGCTTTTATACCCTTAGTACAAAAACCGTTGCAGCAAACATGTTGCTTGCTCATCACGCGACATTCTGAGTGCTTTCTACAGGGTAGCGGGAATAGATCCAGCCATCCACTGCTGGTACGCACTGCAGGGCACACCACAGATTGTCCCTGTGCTGTAAAGTTTGTCATCCGTTATGGCACACACAGTAAACAACAAGAACAAGTAGTAATAAAAATGAAATTCGAAAAATTGTGCATTTGCTTAGTTGCTTGTGGAGGAATGTATTTTTATCCCACGTGCATTTTTAACATAGTCCTGTATTTCTAATGTAAAGTACATAGTTGTGCCTTCCAATTCTTCTATATTAATATATATAATCTGAATCTCGGAAACGGCTCCAACGATTTTCATAAAATTTAGTTTAAAGGGGATTTCGGGGGCGATAAATCTATCTAGCTACGATTTATTTTCAGAAAATGTTGTTTTATTCGTGTTTTCAATAATCGACTCTTCCCGACATCTATTGGCGAATAATAATAGTATTTTTCTTAATTGAGGGCAATTAACCGCTTTGAAGACACAACAAGATGGCGTTATAAAAAAAAACCCGAGCAAAGCTCGGTCATCATCTAGTGGTTATAAGTCGATTTGAACAGAATAAACTATATGGTTTATGATACTAGAGGTTATGGAATTGTATTGAATAATGTAATGATATTAATCAATTATATTTATAATAAGTGTATGGCAAGCATTAACAATCAAATTAAAATTTAAAACGTCAATAATGACAAATCAATAATTACCACAGGGATTGGTTAAATTTGTTTCAAAATTTTACGAGAACGATATCGCAATCACGAGGCCGTGGGCACAGATATACAAAAGGAACAGTAAAATATTTTTAATTGTTACTACAATTACTATAGAATATTTAATTAGCAACAGCTAGGTATCCAATAAATTCTAACACACTGCACAGCTCAGAGACAGCACGAGGAAAAATAGTACCCACTGTTAGACGTGGTCGAAGTCATTATTTTACTCCTTCATCGTGGAAGTCATTCGGGAATTGGATAAGATATGATTATACATATTGAGAAAAAATGCTATGTATCAATTTGATTATAAACATATTGTCGTATCAATCGATTCGCGTTTCATCTATTAGGTCACAGGGGCTTTAAAAGTTGTTAACTTTATTTTAAAATTTTCGTTACTTCGTACTTATTTATTATAGATTTTTAGATTTAAATATTTTTAATAAGCCGACTCTACCGTCACTGCCGACCTCAGTTCTTGTAATTTTTTGTTTTGTTATATTATAAAAAAATCATAAAAAATTGTGGTAAATTAGTAATCTATAACAATGGTTGGCACGTGCCGAGTCGCGGAACTGCAAAAGCACATTCAACAGTCGTGTAAAAGTAGACATTTCTAGTCGAATGATAAAAGAACGATACTCACGGCGTGTTTCGACTTATCATGACGTATCTAACAAATTTTTAGTTAACAGTTTAACGTATATTTTGAAAACATTAAACTAAATAAATTAATTACGTATATAATACTGTATTTACTGATCATTGGCCTAACTCTAATAAGATCCAGGATCCAGATAACGTGGATACTGCGGTTAGGTAGACCTAACTCGGCCCGCCCACCAATATAGCTGACGCGCTTGTCTTACTTCTGATGGCCAGTATTTTTGTGGATAAGGTAAAAACTATAATTAAAAGTCATTTTCAATAATACTAAATTAATCAAATATGCAATTTCTTTGTCTGACAATAAGATCCATTTGTAGAAATTCAGAGGATAAATATTAACGGTATTTTTGAGGGAGTGCCGTATGCCGGTACCTACGCATCAAAACTATTCACGAATAGAACTTATAAAATTAAATTTGAAAAATATTTACAACAATCTCTGAGAAACAACGTTACATCGACAATGGTAACACATTTAAGATTCCTAACGAACAAAATATGACGTAATATAATAATATAGCCTTTCGAGTGGTTTGATTTTATTATTTCTATTTGTTCAGTTTTATTATTGACGAATGTAACTGCTCCCGTACTTTCTCTTATCTGGCATGCGATCTGAAATCTTCAACAGAATAGAGTTCTTTATAAACACTTTTTTAAAAACGTTTAGGTCAGAACAGCTATGATTATAAAATAGTTACAGGTTATCTATTTTAATAAAAATATGTCAAATTCGCTATAAGTTTTATCATCTATTATCATATTTATTACTTTGACTATTTATCCAACAAAAAAATCTGGTTTACCTATGAATTTTCACCCTATTCTTAATTTGTGTCTATTACAATTAAAACAGTGGTTTTACTATCTATGGTAGTTAATAACGAACATATTATCTAGTAACAGAATCTTCGATCATTGCTTTTATCAGGATTAAAATACTACTTGTTTATATCTACTTTTTTTCTATCTATTTTGTAGTCGTCGTGGCCTAATGGATAAGACGTCCGGAGCATTCGTGTTGAAGCGATGCACCGGTGTTCGAATCGCGCAGGCGGGTACCAATTTTTCTAATGAAATACGTACTCAACAAATGTTCACGATTGACTTCCACGGTGAAGGAATAACATCGTGTAATAAAAATGAAACCCGCAAAATTATAATTTGCGTAATTACTGGTGGTAGGACCTTTTGTGAGCCCGCGCGGGTGGGTACCACCACCCTGCCTATTTCTGCCGTGAAGCAGTAATGCGTTTCGGTTTGAAGGGTGGGGCAGCCGTTGTAACTATACTTGAGACCTTAGAACTTGTATCTCAAGGTGGGTGGCGCATTTACGTTGTGGATGTCTATGGGCTCCAGTAACCACTTAACACCAGGTGGGCTGTGAGCGCGTACACCTATCTAAGCAATAAAAAAAATAAAAAAAAATAAAAAAACTAATAAGTACAGTGCTTAAATTATCAAAGAGGATGTAACAAAAAATGTCTCTTTGACAATGTAACTTACACGACACGCGTTTGGCATTAAGAGTTTTGTCGTTCATCACCTCTTTATATATCTCGTAACTACATCATACGACTACTACAATCAACTACTGCAACTACATCTCGTAACGTTTTGTTGTATATTCAATCATGGTTTTAACTGCAGAGGTAGATCTGCCTCAATTCTCTACACTGACTGTACCGGAGGTCAACTTGTCGACATCAACTTTAATGTCGGCTGCGCCATACCTCGGTAAGCATTGTGAAAGTATCAATAACGAGTTTATGCTGTGTCGACAAGAAACCAACGATCCTCGTTCCTGCCTTGAACTAGGGAAGCGCGTAACGGCATGTACATTGCAACTGTTTAAGAACATGAAGAAAGCTTGTTTGCACGAATTTAAACAATATGCGAACTGTATCGACAAAAGCTCTGGCGATTACGGTTTTCGGCATTGTCGTAAAACTCAAGCAGTACTCGATTGTTGTATGAAGGATAAGTTGGGTCTAGAAAGACCTCATGTAGGTCATTTTTGTCGTGGACGAGTGCACAAAAGCTCTTGCGCACCACCGAGACCTCCACCTTGTCCTTGTCAGCCAATCGTGCCGGATCCTACTCCTTCGCTGCCCGACTCAAAGCCACGTTATCCACCGCGCCTAGGTAGCCGTTTTTATTTTATGACAGAGTAGGTAGTCGGTGAAAATAAAAGAAACATAGAAAACGTTTTTATTGGTTTATTTCTTGTAATTTCATTGTATTTTTTTATAGCAAATATAGCAGTAACTGACCTAAGTTTTATTTACAAGTTATTTCTTTAGTTACCTAGCTGAGACAGTTGCTACTGATGAAGGTCGTTGAAAATTCTCCACTAAGTAGGTTATCCACCTCTACTAAATAGACTGTTGCATAATATAATTTATTTCGCCTTGAATGTTATGAATCAAATTAATGATTTATGTGAAAGGATTTATTTTAACAAAATCAAATGTTAATATGACAAAAGCTTCATTGTAGGTAATTGTGACTTCTTTGTAATCTTAAGCCGTTCGTAAGTTCTACGATTGGTGTGAGATGATAGTAGTGTTCAAATTTGTTTCAAACGAATATATTATATATATATTATATATTTATTAACAATCACGCCACGTTAACTGGTCCCGTGATTAGTTCGTAAAGAACTTGTGTTACAGGTACCAGATAACGGAAATAAATGTAAGATTTTTATTATACACATACATATATTGAATATACATCCATAACCCTGGAAAAGACATTTATATTTATCATACAAATATCTTCCCATGGCGGGATTCGAACCCGCGACCCCCTTGTGTAGTGACCATGTCACTTACCCCTACACCAGACGGCCGTATATGTTTGTAGTATGAACGTTTTAAGTACAAACAACTCATGAGTGGAACAATAACATGAGGTGATAAACTCTGTGATTTCGATTAGGCTGTGAAGCTCATCAACACATCACCTAGTATAGTAGAAAAAAGCTTATTTTCAATAATTAGGTTTCGTTTATTACTTAGATGCGGGAACGGTTTTACGGACCATTTAGTTTTAAGTGATAAACATAACACATGTGAATGCCGCTATCCACCTTGACATGAGGTTTCCTACCTTTCGAACCGGAATATATATGATTGCCACGCGGCAAATATATGTTATACGAAATTTAAGACTAGTACACAACAAATTGGTATTAATTGTGATGTGTGATGCCGGGCTTACAATGCGTTCGTGATATCATATTACAAGCACACAATGTTGCAACTGAATTACTTGTTGGATGAAAAGAAGTTTAACTTCAACCAAAAAAAAGGAACCCCTAGATCTTTTCTAAACAATTAATAATAAATAAAATATTATTTGTTCTTTAATAACTTTTCATTGTTAATTTTTTTATGTTTAGAAATCATGATTGTACTTCTAAAAGCCGAAATAATTCGGAACCTTGAGTGCAACCTAGATTGCAACTAGACACCTACTTAAATGTTTGCGAAATAGCATTTATTCAAACTCAGGTTATTCATTGGATTAGATAATGTGTACAAGTGGCGTATTACAATGACTTTGTATTTTATAATTTTGTATATTTATACTCAAAATCCACCGCTCGCGCAATTTGTACAACAAATTTTACAATAACAGAACTAATTCTACAACAGCGAAAGTCCGTAGAACAACATAATAATATAATATCTAAATCAAAATGTCTTCTGGGTACCCCGCTTTATATTTTTATTACTTCCAAACTAAGTACAATTACCTACTTAAATGTAGATGCGCATAGTCCTATACTATTCAGGGTAATGCAAAAGAATAAAGTAAGACAATATTCGGACAAGAATATTAATAGGTATATTTATATATATGCAGTGGACTGCTGTAGATGATGAAAGTACATATAATCTTAGGTACATTTATTTTAACAAAAATGCACCGATACCTCCTTGTTTTTTTCAAAGTTTATAAGNACCTACTTAAATGTAGATGCGCATAGTCCTATACTATTCAGGGTAATGCAAAAGAATAAAGTAAGACAATATTCGGACAAGAATATTAATAGGTATATTTATATATATGCAGTGGACTGCTGTAGATGATGAAAGTACATATAATCTTAGGTACATTTATTTTAACAAAAATGCACCGATACCTCCTTGTTTTTTTCAATGTTTATAAGTGCATAATATAAAGGAATAGAATTTTATAAAATAATTACTTAAATATTTTTGTCACAACCTTGTGGTATAAAGTTTTGTTGCTCAAACAGTCAGAAATATAGATTAACAGAATAACTCAAAATAATAACAATTATTCATGATTCTAAAGTAGTAAGAATTATAATACCTATTATTTTTAAATTATTCAACGTAAAACTTTTGCGAAATTGAACCTGAACATTAGATTACTATTTCAAAAGAGTACATCTCCTAGATATGAAATTAAGATAAATTTTGTAAGAACTGACGTTGTATTGCACAGTTCACATTTGCCAATTTCAATGTAAATGAATGCGCGTCAAACTACGGTTTGACGTAACTCATAAACTGCACTACCATGTTTACTAATACAATTTCTCACGTAAACACAGCTATAAATATATAAATGGTTCCCGTTTTCTATGATTTCGGATGCCAACGCCAGACGCCAAGGCAATTGACGTTAAAACCGGACCTTTATAACCATAGCTTTTGATAATCAGCTCAATCCTGGATTTTTTGCCTTATAAAAGCTAAACTGGAAAGGCATAATAATTCAAAGGTTTACAACAGTAAGACGACATAGAGTCTTCTGTGGCGTGAAAAAAATTTTACAACTTTCCGAAATGTTGTTCTGAGACTTGGCAAGATTTGTTAACTTATTTTTATAAAACGGTAACTTATTTTAATTGAGCACATTAAATTCTTATTATATAAGTACCGGTCGGTTGCATATGGTAAACTATTACACAGACTCTTATGCGTCAGCGGTAATAAATTGGGTAGAAAGGAAATCTTGTTTGGTTTTATTTTCGTTCGACTTAATTCGAGACGAAAGTATTCGGGGATTGATTGTTTCGTTAATTCAAATTTGCCTCAGATGTCAATATATTTTGACAGATGCAACATTAGGTTGGCACAGCAAAATCAAACGAGTTTTTGTCAAATTTAGCAGAGATTAGATTGTGTAACTATGCTACAAATATCTCGAGTGAAGTAATAAATACGTTGTTTTAAATATGACTTCATTCTTATAGCAATACCTATTGCATATACGTACAATAACGATTGTGACTGCCAAAATAGCTATCAGACGTTGTGGTAAAGTGGCTGACGCTGCTTGTAGATAAGATAGGAATTCATTCATTCCATAATTTTAAGGTTCAAAATACAAACGATCTCTAGAAAAACACGCGATGTAAATGAACTTTACTCAGTTTTCGGATGGTAGAATGAAGACTATGGCGTTATTTCGCTTATTTCCTGAGAGTACTTACTCTCTGTAGCGATGGAACGTGCAATGAGAGTTCTAAAGTCACTAGTGACCCCGAAGCACACAATACTAAGTACATATTTTGATGTTCAATAAATTACGTAATAATGGTGAACTCATTATTTATTTCCCAATTTTAATAATAAATAGCTTTCCCGCATCGCGTGGGCGTATTTATTTTTTGTTTATGTCATCATCATCATCATTATCGGCCTTCCATTTGGTAAAATAATTAATCGATATGAGACGTCTATTCAAAAGAATCTGTGATTGTGTGCGAATTCATAATAGGTACCAGAATGCGTATGATTTTTCAAATCCATAATTATTATTAACAAAGTAAGTCATACTCTAATCTGAATATTTGTACAATTACCGTTTATATTTCAAATTTTAAATGTGCACTGCTGATATCCATGAGTTACGTTGACCACAGTAAATAAACCCACAGACACAGCCCACTGAATTTCTCGCCGGATCTTCTCAGTGGGTCGCGTTTCCGATCCGGTGGTAGATTCTTCGAAGCACTGTTCTCGCTAGGGTCAGTGTTAGCAAAACCTCCGGTTTGAGTCCCGAGAGCTCACCTACACGTTAGGGTAACGCTTATATAGCCTCTCAAGGCTATCAGCAAAGGAAGGAAAAAAAAACGGTGGCCACTTGGCATCACATGTGAGCGAGTAGTACGCTTGATACTTTAACTTGACAGTTAACAGTTTATACGTAGATATGTATAGTCACGGATATATTACGCGTAGCGGAGGCCGTTTGAGCAAGTATTGTTTATTTGCAATTTGCGTTGCTTCATCTACAGGACGTATGAAAAAGCCGACAAGTGGACGGAAACGGATTTTCATATTTGTTTTTTCTTTCATTGTGCAAATGGAACAAACATAAGTGAACTACAACAATACACCTTTTATGAGCATGTGACTACGTAATATGTTTTGACCGATTCAAAATGTGATTTTAATAATATTATAGAAAGCGAAAAAGGTCGTGATTCGAGTTATGAAATGTATGTTCCATCGTTGTTGAATAGTTTATAAAGAACAAATAACCTGTACTTTATACGAATTTCAATTCAAAATTTAAGTTAATCCAACGTCAACATAATTTTCAAAAACTCAAGTTTTTGAAAATTATGTTGAGAGATTCACTTAGTTAGAGAGAGGTTTGGGTCAAGCTGAAACTACTGAAAAAACTTGTTAATTTAGAGGCTTTATTTTACCTTTAGCAGGCAGAGCTCTGCCCCCAATGTAACTCATACACGACAACGTCAAACCGAAACATATTATCATTTCGCGCATAAATTGGAAATACGGTGATACATGGTATCCAAGTAACATTTCGTATTATTTCATAACACACCTTACTAGAAACACTCCATAAATGGGGATTAGGGGAAAGGAAGAGGAAAAGGCTGATGATAAGATTACCGTGATTAATTAATGAAGAGTAAGCGGTAGTTTGGGGAGGTTTGGGACGCCCATCTAGATCACTACTTTTTTTTTTTTACATATCGAAGGGACGTGTAAGATCCACTGGTCTAATTTTCGAAAAGTTTTATTATATAAATAATTATTTTAAAATATTAAAATTTTCAAATAATAATTTTAACAATAATTTTAATTATTCAAAGAATAATTTTAAGATCTCAAATTTATAGAAGAACAAAATATGATATTTAATAAATTCGTAAGACACATAGATATTGACATATTGGTAATGTTTGTAGCTTTAGATAATCAATATCGCGATAGTATTTTAGCAACAAGTTCAGATGATATGATACAATCAATAAGTAAAAAGTAGTCGCAACACAATATAATGAATGAAAAACTGCTTACCGTTACTTGATAATCCAGCTAAAATCACTAAAATTAACAATGCTACTGAGGGTCTGTGCATTTCGTTAATCATGACTAACACATCCAAAATATTCGAAAATACTTTTCGAAGTAAATGGTACTTGAAATTTAATGAGGAGGTCTGAGCGTCGCTGATGGCAGTGCGGTGGCCACTGATGCTGGCGAATGGCCGGCGCCCGTCGTGTTGCATAAGTACCGACCAGAGTTGATACAGATTATCATTTGGGGGACACCTATACCTACTTTCGCTGCTTACCTACATCATTTTATTTGCTTCAGTGCCCATGCGTACTTTGTGCTAGATCTTTTTAAGAGACTTTTTTTCTTTTCGTGTAAGTTTTTGGAGTATCGGCATTTAGCATACGCACCTTTTTTCTTTTTATTGCCTTTGTAGGCAGACGAGCATACGGCCCACCTGATGGTGAGTGATTACCGTCGCCCATGAACTTCAGCAATGCCAGGGGCAGAGCCAAGCCGCTGCCAACCTTATGCCTCACTTAAATATTAAATATATACTTATTTGAAATTGACTAAGGATAATGAGTTGGGAAGTTCACGCACGGCTATACTATATAATTGGTTTCCGAAGCACCTTTCAGATAGACTGGAGAGAGCATGAGAGATTAGAATTAGAATTCAAACCGCAATACATGATTACTTGCCTGGAAGAGGAAGGGAATGGGGGTAATTTTTACTTACCTAGTTTCCTTTTTTAATTTATATTTGCATTTAATAGTAGAGTAACTCAGTTTTGCTGCACTGTGACTGTTACAAATTTTATGAAAAACATCGATTACTTAAAACTTCTACTTATCGGACTTTGATATTACTATAAAGGAAACCTTACCTAGAGTGCCAACATCAACTGTACCAAGTTTCATCACTATCAGATAAATTGTATGGGGACGCATAAAGGTCAAAACATTGACTGGTAGAGAATGCCTTAGGCATTAAGTCCGCCAATGTAAATTTTACATGAAGTGTAATAAATAAATAAATAAATAAATAAACATGCAAAGATTCATTTAATGAATAACTTAGAACATGCGACGAAGACAGAGCACTTACATTTCGGTATGAAATGCGTAGGTAAACTTTATTAATGGCGCTGTAAGCAGACGGCTAAACTGACGGCCCACCTGATGAAGAGTGGTCATAATTAATAATAGGGCCACGGCCAAGCCGTTGTTTACCGCTAAAACTATTATCTGATGCTAACGGCCGTCTGGTGTAGTGGTAAGTGACATGGTCACTACACAAGGGGGTCGCGGGTTCGAATCCCGCCAAGGGAAGATATTTGTATGATAAATATAAATGTCTTTCTAGGGTTATGGGGGTATATAAAATAGATGTATGTGTATAATAAAAATCTTATATTTATTTCCGTTATCTGGTACCTGTAACACAAATTCTTTACGAACTTATCACAGGACCAGTTAACGTGGCGTGATTGTTATTAAATATTTATATTTATTTATTTATTCAGGGTACGAAATATTTATTTATTATTATTTATTAATTTCTCCTAAATTTACTTTACTTCTGTGTGGTAAGTAATTAACGACTCTGACTACTCTACCATGGGATAGAGGTTCGATTTCTGGTACAAGTCAGTAACTTTGTAAAGATATTTTGTATCCAACGAGCTCGTTTACGTCTCGTATATACCTATTCCATTATTAAAAATAATAACTCATATCTAACCCAAAACAAATTTAATACAAAACTAAACTTTTAAACGTGAATCTTCAAAATGTTTGGTTTTACTATGAAAAAACCTTAATTAAGTAACTTATAATCATTGTAATTTTTGCGTTACCGCTATCTATTAGTTCTATCGCTATCTTTGTACTGCTATCTATTAGTAATTTTAGAGCCTTCCACATAGATCTAATGGATGTTTGTAAATCATTTTGCAGAATATTCTGCCATTATTGTTCAAATGCTTTGCTCGGTTGCGCAACTGTTATGGGAACTGAGTTTCTTTGCTAGGACATTCAGCTATTTTTCCGGGCTGCGTGCTGGTCATGACGCCATAGATAATAAATACAAATAAATTATTATATAAGGCTGAAACTGCTTTGAAAGTCGAACTAATGCCGCGCTGTGTGCTCTACATTATGTTTTCATATCAGTGAATTGTTTATCTAAAAATTCACTTGCGCTTGTGCGCCACATACCTACGTAGCCACTCGTGAACATCAATAATGATGTTTTATTATTGTAGGTGTCCAGGCAAGTTCACTAGGTATTAAGTGGTTACATATTTTTTTTGTCAGGAGGAAATCACCGGTATTCCGCCCTCCACTAGGGATGGAGGACGGGGCATGTCAGAGTTGAACCGACTAAAACCTGTCGCTCAACAACCAGCATCCAAACCTTGCATGAGACAGAACTCATGAAAAGGCAAAGGGGGGAAAGTGAAGCGTTTAGTGCGGAGCACATCTCTCCCATCACCCTCCCCCTCGGGACGCCGGACTGGCGGTCGTCGGCGCCACGAACACCAGCCCTCTCGGTCGGCGAGTGGTTACCTATTCACAATGTGAATGCTACCACCCATCGTGAGAAATAGGGCCGTAGCTTGCATTGACAACGGCGGTGCCACCCTTCGAATTGGAGCTCATGATTGTTTCACGACAAGTGTAATATGTATAATCAGGATCATGGCATCCAGCTTTGCGAGCATACGTACATACTCTTTCTAGTATCAGTAAATAGGTGCTGGTTAGCGATCGCACATTTCTGACATAGTCACAGAATGTCGCTGCCTTTAGCAATTCGCTCAGGTTAAGCCCGTGAATTCACTTGGCGCGAAATTGGAATAGCCCCTGACGCTACCAACGATTAGGTGAGGAAAAATAAAGTTGCAGACGTTCCCTGATTTATGTAATTTCATACATATTATTATATGTATATTATAATATATTCACCAGGGAGATATATATTTAATACCTTGCAGTGTTTTACGGTGAGATAGTCAGTGGCGTGAGGCTGTCTACCTGGTGTGCCTATATTCCACGTTTCAGCAACACATTTATGTATATTTTATCGTAATTACATTACGTAATTAATGTAACATTATTCACGGTTGATTTGATTCACATAATGGAATTAGTAAAGTCAATAGATGGCATTAGGCATAATTAAAACTACTTTTACTGTTTAATCGTGCGGTTTTTTTTCTGAAGCGAAAACAAACCGAAAATCCCCGATCGCCATCATCTCAAAATATACCTAGTTACAGTGAAACCGGCTCAACTGTTCCTGTCATTACATCAAAGAAATTACAGAAAAATTTGGCAACATACCGTTCATTCATACTACCTGAAGCCACTGCGTTCATCCACAGTGCGTTTCCAGATAGGTATCTTTTTGGCCACGTATCATCCGGCTTTGGAATGAGCTCCCCTCCACGGTATTTCCCGAGCACTATGACATATCTTTCTTCAAACGAGGCTTGTGGAGAGTAGATGCTTAACGGTAGACAACGGTTTGGCTCTGTCCCTGGCATTGCTGAAGTTCATGGGCGACGGTAACCACTCACCATCTGGTGTGCCGTACGCTCGTCTGCCTACTAGGGCAATAAATAAAAATAAAGCATATTTAGACATGCGGCCATTTAAATCATTTTAAGGATCACATCAGAAATTAAGACAGTCGGTATAGTTAAGTGTAGCATGTCTATACAGGATCCTACGTCTGTAAACAGGACGGTGACGTGACAAACATATTTCTCAAGTTTTTAAGCATAGAACCTATACGTAAGTGTCTAAAGCAGAGTTCCCCAAACTTTTTTGTGTCGTAGACCTCTTGCCATGTTTTTCCGTGTTGGGTAGACCCCCTACTTACCTGATATTGATTTCCTGTAAATTTCTAACTGTAGTAAAGTTTAGTGTTAAACTTAAAGTAAAATCACATGTTAATTTATACATTTATTAATTGAATTTAAATTAAAACTACTCAAAATAAAATTTTGTATCTGTTATGTAAAATATACGTAATAATATAAAATAAACATAAAATAAACTATAAATAAAATAACATAAGCAATAAATCAATATTTTTAGTGAGAAGGATGAACGTGATGCTTTAATAATAAATTATCAACATTTGGCGACAATTTTATAAGGGTTAATCTTAAATCTCGTAGGTTAATGATATCTGATATTATAAGATAGTATGATGTAAGTAAATAGGTACTATCAGTGTATGTGTTGAGATCCACTATCGTGGACCCCCAAATTTTTTTTCGCTGACGTAGACCCCTTGCAGGTTGTCATAGACCCCTAGGGGTCGATATAGACCACTTTGGGAATCACTGGTCTAAAGGAATCGTCAGAAGGCTACTTTGAAAAAGCGGCGTGACACGATAACCGTCTTATCTTGGCCGTCGCTAATTACATATCCGATCCAAGCGACGGAGAAACACAAAGCCGCTGTCACCCGAAACATGTCTAGTCGGATCCCCCGGATTCACCATTGAGTTTCTCGCCGGATCTTCTCAGTGGGTCGCAATTCCGATCCGGCGGTAGATTCTGCGAAGCACTGCTCTTGCTAGTAGCCCTAGCAAGAGAGTGATAACAAGTTCTCTCAGGATGAGCCCGTGAGCTCACCTACCCTTCCGCGAGGAACTGGAATAGCCCCTTAGACTACCAGTGAATACGTTGGCGGGGAAAAATCACAGGCAAGAAGCAAATTAAGCAAGCAAGTTAAGACTCGCTAAAGAAAACACGTCTATTTTTTTAAGCAATGCAATTAACTTATTGCCGCCATTATAGCTGTTTTCAACTCTATAAAAATATTAAATTATTTTTATATTTTTAATACTTTAATACTTAGGTACACATTCAGGCATTCACACACGTGCTTTATGAAAAAATATATGGATCGGAATGAAGTAAATTGGATTTATTTGAGATTGTAATCAATTGGGATAAAAATAAATGAAAGAAGATGGACTGGAATGAAAAAAGTGTCTGTAAAATGGGGATTACTTACTAAGAATTCGGTGGACTTTTTGGAAGAGCCCGAGAAGCCACGTCCAGCGAATTTGTCTCATCTTTGCAGATGCTAAATATTAAGAATACTACTCTAATTATACGCTTAAACTTGAAGAAACACCAATATAAAAAATTAAAACTATTCACACAACTTCGCTCTTGGCATTCCCACCAAAAAGTCTCTATTAAAGTAAGCCATGTCCCATACCATATTTTCTTGTTAATAAGTTACCGTTAATAGTTGTTAAAGCCTAAGAAAACACTAAATTAACACAACAAATAATTCACACTTCCCTCCTTGTTCCTCACATTCTTGTCAACAAGTCGTCTTAAAGTTAATAATGTTAGCTTTTCTTAAGTAAATAAAAAAGAAATATTAATAATGATATCTTTTGTGTCATTTTGTTTCATTTCTTTCTGTTTCGATTCATATAAAACAGACACGACTTCACTTACTTTAACAAAAATTAGGATATTATGGTCTTTAATCCTTTTGCCCAGCGAGTTGTCAATTCAAACAAGTAAAAACCTCTATTTATTTTCCAATAATCCAATACCGTACCGTACATACTTACATATAGTCAAAGTTTTTATTACCTACTAAAAATTAGTTAAAATCACCACCTAATGTAAAATCGTTGAAATATTTAATTTTGTCAATTAAATCTGTATAAAAATATGCGACAAACTTTATATACAGTAAACGTTACTGTATACCTGTGAAATAAGATAAAACCTTATTTACATTAATTAGTAACATATTGCAAAAATGCCTAAATTCGATGAAAAACCCCGAGTTTTTCTTGAAGAATTCCGTGTTAAGGTTCTCCTTTAAATTGCAAGACTTATTTACAACGATAAAAATGCACATGATCATAACCTAATAATTTTTGCCCGTACAGAATGCACCCGAAGATTACGGATTAGACGATGAAACATGGGACTTCAAAAAGTTTGTGAAGAAATTTAAGATAGTTGTAGTACGAATGGACAATTTCGAAATGGAATTTGACTTGATTGGGATCCAGCCAGCATTTGCGAACGCATTCCGGAGACTCATGTTAAGTGAAGTTCCTAGTATGGCTATTGAAAAAGTAATGATCAAGAACAACACTTCTATAATACAGGATGAAGTTTTAGCACACAGATTAGGATTGATACCTCTCAAAGCTGATCCAAGATTGTTTGAATATAAATCTGAAGGTTTGTGTACAAATTATTACAAAGCCGAGACCATATGTGGGCATTCGTTTTGGAAGATGATTGTTTTCTGTGAAATTGGTTGTCTAATTATTTTTTATTTATCAATTACGTAAACTAGTACACTAATAAAACCACAAATATTCATTTTTCTAGTATCCTAAAATTGACAATTTAGAGCTGGACTGCAAGATGTTATTAAATACTCACTTTTAAACCTCAATAAACATTTATATCTCATAATCAGTAAAGTTTTCACAGCCTAAAGGATAAGATGCCTGGTCCATTTTTATTATTGTAACTATGATGAAATAAAAAAAGTTAACAGAAAATAAAAGAATTGTTTGAGCAGCTCTTGTAAATAATTTGAAATTTTATTTTCAGAAGACACGGAAGGAACAGAATTCAACACTTTAGAATTTTCACTAAAAGTAAAATGTACCAATAGCAAGTCACAACCAAAAGATTCATATAGAGCTGAAGATTTGTATGAAAATCATAGTAGTGAGTTTTCTGTATAACAATATAATAATGTGTAACAAACAGCCTATTAATGTTTTTAATATAACAGTAGATCGCAGATCAGCATATGGCCCTGGTATTAAGCTTGCTGCAGTGCATAGATATAGGTGATTCACTCACATTAAGATATGGGATTGAAGTTTCCATTCCATAGCAAAACAGCTATCCTTACAAACTGGATTCCTTTGCAGTAGAAATGGACAAGATAAATTATGACTACCAATACCAAACTTATAGAATGTTACTGCCATTTTCTGGTAAATTCTTTAGCCACCTGTAACAACACCATGGTAAGATATAGAGTGGTATTGTTGTATGCTGATGGGACAGAACACAGCTGATTTTTTGAACTATTGAATATGGACTAATCTATGAAATTTATATTTATAGTTTTTTTTAAATAATACTAGATGATTTTGTTATTCTTAATACTTAGTTAATTACATATATTACTATGTTTATACAGTTTACTCATCTCATATGAAGTGGCATCCAATTGGCAACCAAGCTACAGTTTATAAAGAAGCTGATGTGGGTCCTGTACATAAGGATATTCTTATATCAAAAATGAGACCTGGCCATGAAATAGACCTTCAAATGATTGCCGTGAAGGGCATAGGAAAGGATCATGCAAAATTTTCACCTGTTGGTTAGTCCCTTCTTATGAATATTTTATAAAATGAGATAAGCTTATTTTAATTATTAAAATAAATGGTTTAACTAACATATCCATTTTATTCTACAGCAACAGCTACATACAGATTGTTGCCAGAGGTAACACTGACTCGTGAAGTTTGTGACAGTGAAGCCACACTGTTGCAAAGTTGTTTCTCACCAGGTGTTATTGGTATTGACTCCAAAAACCGAGCATATGTGAAAGATGCAAGATATGATGCCTGTAGTCGTAATGTTTATAGATATGACACAATCAAAGATTCAGCAATCCTAAGTAGAGTTCGGGATCATTTCATATGTAAGTAGCCATATGTAAATTAATGAAATCATAAAAATGCCACAAATAATTACATGAGCAACAGTTTTTTTGCTATCAATGCTGGTTACCTCAAGGGGGTCTAGCTTCACCTAACGTGTAGGTAAGCTTACAGGCTCAGTCTGGCGAATTTGCTAACACTAGCCCTAGCAAGGGCAGTGCTTCTCAGAATCTACCACTGGATCGGAATCGCGACCCAGTGAGATGATCTGGTGAGAAACTAAGTGGGCTATGTCTAAGGTTTAATTTACAAACCCAAAAATCTAAAAAAGTAAAAAAAGCAAAGGCTTATGTTTTCAGAAGTGTTTATATTTGTATCTATGTTGTACATAGGTGTTCCTACACTACTCATCTGATTTCAATGAATTTGACAAGTGACAAATCAATTCCTTATTATGATACAGATAACATAGGCCACATTGGAAATTATTGAAATTAATATGTTACATCCAAAAAACGAGATTTGCCTCCAAGACAGATAGATAGACATTCAATATATATATTATTTGAATGTTTTTTATTTAACAAAGATTAACATGTATCTAGGTATATAGGCTATTTTATATATTGCACATTGGTGTGTTATAATTTAATGAAGCTGACTAATGATTTTGTTTTATCTTTCAGTTAATGTGGAATCAGTTGGAGCAATTCCACCTCAGATAATTTTTGTAGAGGCAGTAAAAATTTTAAGGGATAAATGTAGATCTTTTTTGGATGAATTAAATAAATTTAGTTAAACTGGTCTTAAATAATGTTTTTGTTGCCCTTTTAAATATTTTCTGGTTAATCTTGCCAAAGAAAGTATGCATTTGAGTCGTCTATTATCAAAGGCGGCAATCTGACTTTTGGACAATGATTGGTAAATCAGAAAAACGAATTATTGACTTTGTATTCCATTGGCAGTCACAAAACTCTTCGGAACGACATCTTAGATAAATAACAGGTTAACTATTAACCTTTATTTAATGCAGGTTTTGAACCGTATTCTTTGAAGGAGACGATTATATTCAAATANTTGGCAGTCACAAAACTCTTCGGAACGACATCTTAGATAAATAACAGGTTAACTATTAACCTTTATTTAATGCAGGTTTTGAACCGTATTCTTTGAAGGAGACGATTATATTCAAATAAATCTGTATTGACATATCAATAAAAATTTTTTGTCCAAATGTACAGATTGCCGCCTTTGATAATAGACGACTCATTTATAGTCATGATCGAACGTACAATGTAACTTTGAATTTCATTGCATTTACAATTTAAAGAAATTCGTTTATTTGTTTTGCTAAAAAATAATGGCTATCATACAATAAATAATCAACTTAAAATAAATTTTATATTTGCATTACATTCGGTTTTAGTTTTTGATTTTTTTAATCACATTAGGAATTGTAGTTTTGTAAAGAAACTATTTTAATATTTAACTTTGTAGTAGTAGTAGCAGCAAGTTATTGTACTTTCATTAAAGTATCATAACTGCATTTTTTATTATTATTTGTCTAATCAGATTTACTAAAATTCGTAAATAGTGTATTATAAATCTGCGGCCAAACCATACGTACGAAGGCAAGTAGTGTTATATGAATAGCAATTTTTATATTTATGGTAAAACAGCATGGATGAAAATATACTGGTGGTGAAATTTACTGGTTTACTGGCAGGACCTCTTATGAGTCCGCACGGGTAGGTACCACCACTCTGCCTATTTCTACCGTGAAGCAGTAATGCGTTTCGGTTTGAAGGGTGGGTCAGCCGTTGTAACTATACTTGAGACCTTAGAACTTATATCTCAAGGTGGGTGGCGCATTTTCCTTATAGATGACTATGGGCTCCAATAATCACTTAACAACCAAGTGGGCGTCGAAAGAACTAATAAGTAAAGAGGCTCTGCTTAAAAACCACCTGTCTATCACGAAAAAAATAATGCTGTTGTTCCATTATAACTTTTTTTGAAGACTATGTTCAGGACTGCTGTTTAAAAAGTTGTTCCAGAATGAACTACAGTGAAAGTGCACAGTTGAGGGAAAATTAAAAGAAATAGCAGGCCGTGACATCTCGGGTTCTCCCAAAAAGTCTATAGAACTCTCAATAAATTTTGAATCATTTTATTGAGAGGTTATTGCACTTTACCTCGTCCAACACTTACGGTGCTATCTCACGTTATTTAATTCCATTTCATTTTTTAAAATAGACATGACTTCAATATTTGTTGCAAAAGACTTAATTGTATGAGCTATGTTCCCTTTGCTTGTTCAATGGACGAATAATACAAAAAAAATGCTATGAAAATATTTACCTACATTTTGGGAAATGTACTCAAAAAAATTGTTGTTTTATTGAATTTTAACTGATTTCTTACGATAATGGGTAGCCTTGACAGAGCAATCCTAACTGGGTTCATATGTCGACTATGTTCTGAAATGCACCGCATTGTGATACATATATATGGTGAAGAAGGCATACGACTATGTATTTCAGAAAAAATCAGTCGATATCTCACCATAAACGTAAGTACTGTATTTTTTTCTCACAAGGGTAATATAATAAAAACTAATTACGGTAACTGCACAATAAAAATCAAAATTACAGATTTCTCGAGCCGACCCACTCCCAAAAACCATTTGCAAAAATTGTTTGGAAAGACTTGAAAAACAACACAAATTGGTAATGGTGATGGAAAACGCAGCCAACATGTTAAAAGGGCGTAAAACAAGGGCTGCCAAAAGTGAAACAAAGCAGTAATATATTGATAATTGAAATTGTAACTTAATACATGCAGTATCTAACAATTCCTAAGGATTGTCATTAGGTATATGTTTCAAGGACTACGAAATTACTAATGTACTCGTAAATATGTTTACATCGTAGGTAACTTCTGTGCTGATGTAGCTAAAGTAAATTATAAGAAGGTTCATATTCTGTTTTGTTATTATCTAACATTTAAAGAAATTTGGAGTATGTTTGAGAAAACAAATGGTTTCATTTATACATGAAAAGTGATAATATTCATAAGAATATTATTAAACTTCTTTGTTACACATACACAAGTATGCTGTGTTTTAAAATAATTTATTTTAAGTATTAGTATTAGCTATATAAATTAATTTGTAATTATCACAAATTGGTGTGTTTGTTTTTGGGAACGATTTCTCATTAATTTAAGGATGATGTTGCTCCCCCAGCTGAAATGTTAAGAATAAAGTATCTCAATATCTCTCACCCTTTTTTATCACTACATAGATAAGTGAACAAGCTTAAAGCTCATCTGGTATTATTAAGTGGTTACTGGAGATACATTGAGGTTGACAATCGTTGTGGAATAATGGTTATCCTACTCTTGGAACTACAAACCATGAAGGCCTTGTAGCAGAAGTGAGTCGACTATTATCAAAGCCGGCAATGTGACTTTTGGACAATTATTGGTAAATCAGAAAAACGAATTATTGACTTTGTATTCCATTGGCAGTCACAAAACTGTTCTGAACGACATCTTAGATAAATAACAGGTTAAGTTAACACTTTTTTTAATGCAGGTTTTGAACCGTATTCTTTGAAGGAGACGATTATATTCAAATCAATCTGTATTGACATATCAATAACATTTTTTTGTTCAAATGCACAGATTGCCACCTTTGATAATAGACGACTCAAGTATCTCACTGATGGACTATTCATGTTCTTTTACTTATTTTGTTATTTCCCTATGTAGGCAGATCATGGCCCCCCTGTTGGGTAGTGACTACCTGACCCCATAGACAACACAGCACGAATGCTGCCATTCCCAACGTGGTTGTGAATGATAGATGATCACAGGCTGGATCTATTCTGTTTCATTTTAAACTTTTTATTGCTGTTGAGGGCAATCTACCGAAGTTATAAGTAGGATGGATTTGACGGTTGTTTATAGATAATAGGGGTTAAAGTATGAAATTGCCGTTTTATTGTAATAGGCACTTGAGATTTTTGATTGAAACTTTTATTAAATGGTACCTATGAGGTTCTTCTTTTAAAAAATGCGCAACATTCGATTATCGGCTTTCAGTTGTTTTATTTTATTCAGCTTAGACAAGAAAAATGGATACTTCGAAAATTCGAGTGATTTTTGAATACGAATTCCGACGCGGAACTAACGCTGCAGAAACAGCTCGCAATATCAATGTTGCATTTGGAGAGGGGACTGCTAATGAACGCACCTTGCGATTTTGGTTTAAACGCTTTCGTGATGGAAATTTTTATTTGAAGAACGAATCAGGTGGAAGACCACCCACACATGTGAATAACAATGAATTCAAAGAGATGGTGGAAGCCGATCCGAGCCATTTACCCAGGAATTAGCGGCATGGTTTAACGTTACCAATAATATTGACTCATTTGCGTCAAATCAATAAAATAAAAATATATGAAGATGGTGCCTCATGCTTTCACTGATCTGCAGAAAGGACCGCGTGTTGAAACTTGTGTTGCCTTGTTGAATCGATACAGAAATGAAGGAATATTGGGTCGAATTGTGATATGTGATGGAAAGTGGATTCTTTACGATAACCGTAAGCGAAATGGCTGACCCCAGGTCAAACGCCGCAACAGTGTCCTAAAGCAAAGCTTACCAATAAAGAGGTAATGGTAATTGCTTGGTGGTCTCAGCATGGTGTTATTCACTATAGCTTTCTCCGATCTGGTTAATCAATAACGGCAGATGTCTACTGCGCCGAACTCCGAACAATGATAGCAAAACTTGCAGTGAAACAGCCCTGACTCATGAATCGATCTTCACCATTATTGCTCCATGATAACACGAGACCTCATACAGCACGAGAAACCGTTTTAACTCTACAGGAACTGCAATTAGAAACCGTTCGTCACCCTTTCGCCAGATCTTGCTCCAACGGACTACCATTTTCTACGTGATAAAAAGTTTTCTTCCCAGAAGGCAATGCAATATGCTTTCACACAGTTTGTAGAATCTACATCACCAGAGTTCTATCGCAAAGGCATAAATGACCTTCCTGTTAGATGGCAGCAATGTATAGATAATAATGGTAGATATATTGATTAAATAAATATGTGAAATGAAAAAAAAACGAATTTTCAGAAAAAATCGGCAATTTCATACTTAAACCCCTAATATTTGAACATAATGTCCACTATCCCTTAAAGAGCGAACCGTCGATAGGTCGACTTAATTAATGCGTAAGAATTGCGGAGCGTCGGAATACCGACTACTGCACAGTTTAAGATGAAGTGTATTATCTATGATTATATTATAGGTATCGATCCGTACGTGTTTTAGCGCGCGCATGTATAACGTTTTTAAAAAATAATTGCTGTGAATTTGATTTTTGTATTTTTTTAATTAGTCTTTTTAATCTACTTACAAAATGTCAAATTCGTGAAATAGTGATGAAGAAAACACTTGTGAAGCTTTGAGGGAAAATGTTTCTTTCTTTTCATGAAAATAGTGACAGCGATGATGAAATTAGAATGTTTACAAATGAAGAACGAATGAAGAATGCGTATTTGTAGCGAAAGTGGTGAACCTTCCAAAGATGAGTTTAATGTTTTGGACGGCTTTGATTCCGTTACGTTTGTGCAACTTCCTTGTAATATAGGTACTTTTGTCCAACGAAACAAATAATACATTTTTTTCAAAATTCCCGGACCAAAACATTTACACGCCGATATTAAAAAGCCTATTGGATTTTTTTATTATTATTACTGTATAGTAAAAAATATATTTCATTTAAGTAATTTGATATGTTCCTTACACGTAACAGAAATAATTACGAAAATCTATCTATATTTGAGGAAAATAATTAAGATTCTGTGCACACTTAATCATTAGGGTACTTTTTTTAAAAATCCTTTCGCAATTTCTGCAAAATATGTGAAAATAAGCCTAACATTAAAAAGGTTAAAAAAATGTAAGAAAAAACGTTGTTATTTTTTATATTAATTTACATAAATTATTGCACGTTCCCGGTAGCAAGCAATTTTTCAATTCTCGACGAGTTTTTGTGTATTATCACTTTGAGGTCGTTTACTTTATCTTGTTTTTCTTGGATTTCTAAGTCCAATTGCTTCAATTTTGTACGCAGAGGTATAAGAGACTCTTCATTACACCTGAATAAAAAACAAAGCATTAGACAATGAAAATTCAATTAAGAAATGAAGGGAATTAATATTAAGCCTTGATTTAGGGCCTATTTTTATGCTACGCAAACAAAAAACTATTCATTTATGAGCTTGATTATACTAAATGATAATACATATAATAATAATGTTCTATGGATGGTATACTTCCTTTTTTTAATGCTTAGATTGGTGGACTAGCTCACGGCCCACCTGATGTTAAGTGGTTACCGGAGCCCATAGACATCTACAACGTATATGCCGCCAGCGATCTTGAGACATGAGGTGTAAGGTCTCACTTTTAACCGTACAACGGCTGCCCCGCCCTTCAAACCGAAACGCATTACTGCTTCACGATAGCAATAGGCAGGGTGGTGGTACCTACCAGTGCGGACTCACAAGACGTCTTACCACTAGTAATTCCTTTTTAAAATTGGACTACCGACTATCCTACTCTTCAAAGCGGAACGTGTTATGGCTTCATAACAGAAACAGGAAGGATACTAGAATGTACCTGTATGGACTTACAACCCGTCCTGCAATAAATATCGGGCTCGACTTGAACTTCACAATGTTATTCCTAAATTGTGTAATCGTTCGCTAAGCACGTCACGTTTTATAATTATTTATCGTATACAGGTAAATACAAATTAGGAAAAAAGAGTCCCAAATCACTCGATAGGTATACAAGGGGCGTTATACTCATTAGGCATAGGACGCTTCAATGATTAAAACTATTAGCTGGCTTTTGGTTAAATTTAGGAGAGACTCGCTATTTCATTCGAGTAAGTACATGTGGTAATAAAAAGTAATTAAATAAAACGTAATTTATTAAATTAGAGATCTACCTGGTATCAACCTATGTCACTTAATCTAGTTTTATTAATAAGTAGAAACTTTTCGGTCTCAGCAACTTTGATAAATTGTAGTTTACAAATTCTCGAACTCGAAATCAAATGCCATGGGTAAATCGAATCTCCAAAAATAATCACAATCCGGCAGTTACCTACTACCAAGAAATTAGAAAAAAAAAACTTAAGCACTAACGAATACAAATAACTTTACTGGTCGTGCGATTTATTGCACGGCGTAATAATTGTCCCATGCCGTTACATATTAAAACAATGGAGACTTCGACCTCATGCCTTAAAAAGAGGAGTAGCAGCAACATGTTATCATGTCGCGGTACTGTAATAACATAACACCACGTGGACAATGAGCTCATTCTACCTATTAAGGGCAATTTCTACAAACAAAAAAACTATTTAACAACCTACATTAACCTATATAATCCGTAATAGTAAATATTATTTGTAATAAAATCTAATAAAATTTTGGAAAGGACACGTAGGTACTTTAAATGATTCACATTAATTACCAACGAAATTTTTTTCTGTTTTTTTTACGTATACAGCCTTTTTACAGAGTTGAGTAGAGTTGAAGGTGCCGAACGATTTAAGTGATAATGCCGTTACGACTCCGCTCTATTAATGCAGTAAGTGAAAAACATTTAACTAAATATCTCACAATTTTTGCTTGTGCGTCTCTTTAGTGATTTCTTCGTACATGTTTGTCCATTGGTTTAGTTCTTGTCGCATCACTTCCACGTCTTCTTGTAAATGATCGAGTACTTTTCCCAAAGGATTGGCCACACGCGATAAAGCCTGAATATTGAATTTTAGTTGTTCAATTTCTTGATGTTGTGTTTCTCTGGCTTTTTGGATTCCAGACTCCCATTCCTGACAAAATTGATGATTGTAAAGATTTGTTTAATAGTTTAGATTTAAATAGCAGGGACGTGATTTTGTGAGGTGAAGGCAAGAACATAAATGTTATTTAAATAAACGAATTGATTTAAAATAAACTTCTAATTTAAAATTTTACATAATATACACAAATAATAAGCTGAATTCACACGACTTAGGAAATAAGGCCAACGTAATAAAATTAATACATTGCCACCGATCCTTGATGCATCTGCAAATTTTCAAATTCATCAAAATCTAAATGGCACTAACAATTTCAGTTTTTCCCGAAATCTTGCTTAGTTCTCTCTGCGCATCGATTATTTGTTGCACTAAATGACCGTGGTCATTCAGCGATTGTAAGTCTCCGGATATATCTTGGGTCATTGAACTATTGTGTTGCTCCGCGATTATGATAGAGTTGTCTTCCTCCTATAATTTGAATTAGAAAGTTAGTTTTCATAAAATTTGCGAGTCTAAAAAAAGGATAAACAGGAATTAGCCTGACCTCGTCGTTTTGCACGTGTTCTGCAATAATATTAACTTTCCCTAAAAT